ACAATCGCACAACTGGGACCTTCCTCCCGGGTCGTTCCGATTTACAACACTCCGGTAGGCGGGAGATTACAGATCTTCGCCCCAAATTGGACCATCCTCAGAAATCCGTACGTCACCTACCTGCTACTTCACGGCTATCAGGTACCCGTTATCGGCAGTCCACCTCTGACGTCGCATCCGGCTCATCGCTCATATCCAGTGGACCAGTTACAGACTCTGCAATCCACAATAGGTACGCTATTAGACAAACTCGTGATAGAGCTCCTAGGTCCGTGGCCCGTCACTCCAGGATTCTACTCCCCCATCTTCTTGGTTCCAAAGAAAAATTCCAACAAACTCCGGCTCGTCTTCAATATGAAGTTGTTCAATGCCCGATTCCTGCTTCCACCGCCTCACTTCAGGATGGTGTTGATCAACCTCTTACGCACCATCCCGAAGAAGGGAGACTTCCTCATCAGCCTAGATCTTCAGGATGCTTATCTTCATGTTCCGATACATACAGAACACCGGAAGTACCATCGCTTCGTGTTCAACGGGAATCACTACCAATGGAAAGAACCATTTGGAATTTCCGCGGCCCCGTGGCTTTTTACCTGAATTACCAAGCCCATAACAAGCTTCCTCCACTGTCAAGGGATCACCTCCGAAAGCTACATAGACGATTGCATCCAGGCTCAACAGGATCCGATCGTATTGCTTCACCACCTACAGTTCACCACCACGCTGCTCAGACAGTTAGGGTGGCTGTTGAACATCGCGAAATCGGAACTAATACCGACTCAGAAACTCCAATTCATTGGAGCACCATTCAACACTCGTCAGGTGATGATGTTCGTCCTTCATGACAGGTGGATAAAGATTCAGCAATGCATTCCTCCAGCACTGTCTCAGGCGAGAACCTAACAACAGTGGCAGGAGCTACTGGGCCTTCTAGCATCAGCTCAAGCCTTAACGTACAGAGGCCAGCTCCAACTTTGGCCGATACAGCGATTTCTGCGCCCGTACCTTCAGGCCGACAACCCCAAGGAACTAATTTGCCTTCCAGAACCGCTTCATCCAGTCCTTCAAAGGTGGCTTGACGAACGGAATGTTTGCGCTGGAGTCTCTATGATGCCTTTTGCACCGACTCATCACCTATTCGTCAATGCGTCAATGCATCCCCCTTGGGTTGGGGAGCTCACTTCGTCGACCACCAAGTGGCCGGGCTGTGGTCATCCGACGAACGGGTACTTCATATAAACGAGCTGGAATTCAAGGCGGTAATTCAGGCCATCTCACATTGGGCAACAGAGCTTCAATCAACCAGTCTGTTGATCCAATCAGACAATTCGACAGTGGTTTGGCATATAAATTATCTAGGCTCGACAGGCTCGGGGAACCTGCTACAATGGGCTATCAGATTCTTCCATCTCATTGACTCACTCAACATCGTAGCCAGAGCCAGACACATTCCCGGAGTGAAAAATGTGATCACTGATGCCTTGTCCTGATCCAACCGACCGTCCCCGACAGAGTGGAAGTTACTGCCCCAGTTCTTTCAGTCGATGATCACGGCCTCAAATAGATCTGTTCGCCACAAGGTTCGTCAACCTAAGCAACCAGAGCCAAACCCAGTACCGCTTCCCAACCGGGACGACCTACTTCTTCACCCTCACTCGGAACTGCGCCACGGGTCACCACGAGTCACCTCAATCTACACGTTTGGCGCATCTTCAGAGGTCTCTCATAGCTAAGGGCTACTCTCACCGAGTAGCCACAGCTATCACTTCAGCGCATCGTACTTCAACCCGTTCCTTGTACAACAAGTGGAAGAAGTTTGAAGACTATTGCAAGGTATGGGGAATTGCATCTCCGACTTCCACCTCGGGTCAGGTCGTTGCTGAGTTTCTCCAGCATCTCCGCTCTACTAAGAAACTCAAGGGTACTACATTAGCTACCTACTTAGCCGCCATCAACTCAGGTTTGGCTACCACCACGGGCACGAAGATTTCCACTGTTCCCGAGTTGCAGAGTCTACTACGCTGCTATAGACTCTCTGACCAGTCCCGGAAGTTCAGACCTCCGGCCTGGGATCTGTCCGTCGTCCTTCGTCATATGATTTCTACAGATTATGAACCTTTAGAAGACAAGGACTTCGAACAAGTGACATTCAAGACATTCTTCCTGGTAGCTTTGGCTACCGCTGCTCGTATATCTGAACTGCATGCGCTTGATGTCAATCGGCTGCGGTTCGAGCGGAAGAAGCATGGCAAGGTTTTCCTAGGTTTTCCTGGGTCTCCGCTTGGACTTCATTGCGAAAAACCAACTGCCAGGGCAACCGGACTGGATGTTTACCATTCCCCCCGTTGTTCACCATTCTTGGGCCTGATGATAATGAAGATTTGACACTCTGCCCTATTAGGGCTCTACACGTTTACCTTGCTGACTCCAAGGTTCGTCAACGGCTACAGAAGCACCTCTTCATATCCTTGTCGACCACTTCAAGAACTGAGGTTTCCCGGACCACATTGGCCTTCTGGATGCGCGCCATGATCCTGCGAGCCTACACCTTTGCAGGGTTGCCTCCTCCAGCCGCTTCCAATCCTCATGAGACTCGTGCACTAGCCTCGACGATGGCCCTCCATAGCAACTGCTCCTTGACCGCTATCATGGAAGGTTGCTTCTGGCGTTCTGATACAGTCTTCCCTTCACATTACCTGCGAGACCTGTCTGTCATGGATGTCCAGGGACTACACCAGTTCGGACCTCTTGTACTGGCTCAGCAGCTTACATCGGCCCAACAACGCAGATGAGGGACAGTTCCGCATTCGCGTTACTGCTTCCTTGTATATACTGAATAAAAGTTGAACTGGATCTCAACCTTTTGTTCTCATTATATGGGTTTAAGAACTACTTCACTTGGCTTCCATACCAAGGCATTGGAATACGGCCACCTAGCGTGGCCCTACCGACTTGAGGCACAATCAGTATGACGATGCAAGGGTGTTCGACATTCACGCTTACTGACCTCTACTCCATGGAGCAATTACGTCAGTGAAGTGTGACACTCCCGAATTCCAGTGGATTTCGTTGCATTCTGCCTCCAAAGTTGCCGGGCACATCCTTTGACTAAGCTTAGGCAAAGGAGTGAGGGTCAATTTGATGCTGCCCAGAACTGAACGTTAAACGTTGGAGATGCCGAGTTGTGTTTCTCTTTCACCCGCCTCGGTCGGTGTCTGGGGGGCTTTCTTGAAGCACGGGCTGGCCCGATTCTAGTCGCAATACTTTAATTACGGGGGTACTTTGTAAATCGTGGCGAGGCCTACTTGCCGAGTTGCATCCCTTGTCTTGTACAAGGTTGGGGCCGAACACTACATCGCTCGGGAGCACCCATCTCCCTGGGAGTCGTTGTGCTTAGTAAGCCAAGGGGCTCCGGAGAACCCACTACAAGCATAGGAGTGTGCATGCGTAACAGGCCTCCCTTGTACATCCCTATCTACGGTTGTCATCAGTCCACACAGCTCCAAGACCAGCTGTTCGCACTGTACAGACAGAAGGGTAATCTGCGGCCCGCCATCCAACCGTGGGATAAGTGCAAGTCGTGAGATAGGATAAGTTTAAAAATTTGGGGATAAGTTTAAAAATTTGGAAATTTTAATATAAATTGTATATTTATATACTTATCCTATCTCACGCGATGGATGCCCGCCCGGCCTCCCCACTACTCAGATTACAATTTGGCTCCGAGATGAGAATGATCATTCAAGGTAGTCACATGGGCAATTAGTGGAGCATGCTACAAGCTTTATTAGGAACTAGGAAGCTAATTAAGGAGAGCAGCATGAAGTGCACGGGCGAATGGACAAGGAGGCCTATGGAAAAAAGTTTACAGTCGTTCCACTAAAAGTCGAAGCAAGAGAGAGAGGTGCAATTCATGAGATAGGATAAGTATATAAATATACAATTTATATTAAAATTTCCAAGTCTAGATAGGATGTTAGTCTGTTATTTATAGTTTCTTAGAAATTTTAGAGACTTGTGCAAGTCCATTGAGAGCCCAACTCTTTGACTTTTGGCTGCTATATATTTTATCTATTCATGATACACAAAACTGATCATATTTAGGTATATATTTGATAGGTTGAGAGGTATCGAAATAGTGCTTAATTTGTGTGTCATTGCATGGATGAAATATTTCAACATGATCAATTTAATGGAAAATGAGATAGATACCAACTGAAATTATTCAAAACTTATTTTTGCACCCCATCAAACTGTTTATCTGTGGCACTCTCAATCTCCAAGCTCAACATGCCAGGCATATGGACCATCACCTGTGAAGATCTGAGTTAGAATAGGTTTTCAGCAACTGATTCTTGTCTGGATTGGGTAGTCAGGCTCACGGACTTGGTTGACCCATGTCATCATATCCCAACTGTGTGGATCGATGCTCATGCTATTGATCATTGAATTGTCTGGTCCAGACTTGATTATTTCCATGCAGCCGTAATATTGCTGAAAGGGGTGTTGTATAACAAACAAACAAACATGTAGACCACCCTTCTTTATTTCATAGAGGAAGGTAATTGAGACAGTTACCCACACCCTCTGAGTCACTAAATTACCAGCACACAAAGTCAACAGCCTTACCTCCTCAGCCACTGCGATTTCCATTGTTTTTAGGTGCCTGACTCTGAGGGTGTGGGTTCGAATCCTGGATGGGACTCAACCCAACAAAAGTACTAGAATCTGTACTTTACTGTGAAAGTGTAATCCCAAATATAACATGTGTTACATTTGACCACTTTCTAAACTGGCATTGAGTGTTCATACCTTTCTCCTGTTTTTGTGCTTAATTTGTCACCACCTTAGACAAAGATATTGCTGGCAATTGTCAAAAGCTAGTGTTCCATAAACATGTTTAATTTTTCTGACATAAGTGACACAACATTTATGACAATTTGCAGTAACCAGGGGAAATAACTCTTATTTAATTACTTTTCTTTGTTTAACATTTCCAGGCTGAGAGTAGTGGTACTAGTGCTATTGGTTCAAGTAGATTGGAGGAAATAGAAGCAGATAGTGACGCTTTTGGATTGATACAGGTTAGTTCATCAGTACACCAGACTTCTCCAACACACACACACACACACACACACACACACACACACACACACACACACACACACACACACACACACACACACACACACACACACACACACACACACACACAACCCCACACAACCCCACACTGGCTCTGTTTACCCCCACATTCGACCCACTCTGTCTCTCCCTCTCTTTTTTTCCCACACCCCACGCCATCACTCTGTCCCCTCCTTCCCCCTTCACCCACCTGCTGTCCCTCAAACACCCCCCACACACGCTTTGCTGCCTCCCTCCACCTTCACCGCACCTGCTGTCCCCATTCCCCTCAGCTCTGCACCTCCCTCTCTCTCTCTCTGTCTGTCCTCTCTCTCTCCTCCTCTGTCTCTCTCTCTCTCTCTCTCTCTCTCTCTCTCTCTCTCTCTCTCTCTCTCTCTCTCTCCCCCTTTCCATCTACTCTGTATGAGTTCTAAACACTACCTAGCCGCCATCCTTCTTTATCCAGAGTTTTAAATGTCTGTTTGGTTATGATACGTTCCCTGCACCCACTTACTACAACAGCTTTGCCTTTATTTTCAAACTATTTTGAATCACACAACAATTGTGCCGTTCTTTCACAATAAAAACAATCAGTATAGTAGCAATACTAGACTTGCCATGTTACAACCAGTCTCAAACTGAACTGTTAAAGCATCTGAATGACATCCAGTGAAATCCAGTTCATATATGACAGTGTTCTACAATGTTATAAGATGAGATCTTTCACTCTGATAGCTACCTCTGTCCATGAACATCACCCTATTGAACTATGAAGGTCAAGCCAGGTGGTATTGTGAAGATGAATAAGTCTGTATCATCGTTTTTGTGTAATCAGTAGTTTCTGAGAACAATTAGGTAACCGAAAGTAAGTTAGAAGTGTATTTGTATTGTACAAATCAAAATTTCTGAAGCTGGATGGTGAAGAAATTAAGCTAAACATTTTAGAAAACTGACATCTGATTGGCTCCAGAACCCACACATTTTCCAGTAAGATTGCAGTAAAGTTGGCTCCAGGTTCACCTGACACGACTTTGTGGAGGTGCCCTCAAATCTTCACACAGAAAGGTTTAATGATAACAGGACCAATTGAAGCCATAGATTAAAATTTGGGCATGAATCCTTCTTTAAAAGAAAATGATGTTTTGGCCTGATTTGCTCACCAAGGATACTAATATGGAGTTGTGGATATATTGCATGTTTTTATATATATTTTTAGGAGAAAACTTGTTCCAACTTATTCATATACAGTAACTTAGTTTTGGGCTGGTCTCCATTTCTTACTTTTGTAAGCCTTCGAGTATCAATGCGGTCAAATGGATGACATCCAATCTCTCCCCTGCATGCTTACCATGGCATGCTAGTGTAAATGAAATAGAATTACAAATTGATAAACAATGAAATAATAATGCAGAAAAAGTATTTGATATTATCTCTTGTTTGTAAATGAAACTGGCTTTCAAACTCCTTGTGTAATTGTATAAATCCTAAAACAGTGGGAATTTGTTACTGGTGGCAGTGATGGAGAGCTCCGAGATCACTGTAAGGAGCTTGAGTTTAAACTCTTTTAATTAACCCAGACTATGTTGTCATTCACAGAACTAACATTACAAGACAAAACCAAAATGTTACATTGCCCTGTACAAAAGTGTTCTTCACATTTTGTTTATTGTTTATCATTTGAATGATTTACATGATGATGAGGCATTTTTTTTGTATCTTTATAACTACTGTTTTTGTGTGAGGTTGTGTTAAGTTAAAATGTGTATAAGTTGTTAATGTGTAATGGGTTTAAGATTTGATGATTTGTACAGGCCTGTTTTCTTGAACCAGTATTAACATATTGTCTTTCCCCACCTTTCAGCTGATGTAGAGATGATGGCAGCTATGTTCTATAGCTTTATGGTAACGGTAGCATACTCAGACCCCTGCTAGACACAGGGATGTTGTCTCCCTCCTCTCTCCATTTCATTCAAACTTTCATATCTGTTGTCTACTAACTATTAGCACCCTCCCACAAAACTTCAAGCACCAGCTCAAAAAATATTTGTATTTTTACTAAAGCACCATGACCGTGAATGTTGTAACAACTGTATGGATTTTAACCAGTCACACTAAGATCTGATTGTTTGCTCCGCTGTGATACCACTCTGTGTACAGATCTGGCAAACTCACAAGGGATGATTGTGTCAGGCAGACCCTGAGCAAAATTTACGACCCAATTTAATTTTTTTATTGTAATAGAAAGAAACCCATTCATGCAGATTTACCCAAAGTGGCAGACTCTTTTGGTGTAGGTGACATGGCAGATATGAAAGGATGTTTTAAATATCCACAAAAATATAGAATAACTTACTTGGGAGGCATTTAGAACGTTGGAGCAGTAAGGAAGGATAACAATACACGGATGAACAACTTCTTTATTACAGTGAGAGCGATGTTTCATCACTTGCTTCATAATAGTGTTAGAACCTACCCTGAAGTGTGACTCCAACTGTAATAAATAATAATGTGTCTATTTACATAGTGTCAAACTCCACACCAGGTATGCTCATAGCGTTAACAATTAATAAAGCATTAATGAAGTCAGTTGATATAGAACTGTTTGTAGAGAAAGGTTTTGAGATGATCCTTAAGTTTTCAAGAGTTGGAGACAGTTTAAGTTCCCCAGGGAGGGAATTCCATTTGACAGTTTCCATGTTAATAAAGTAGTTGTTCCATATACAGTCAAGTCGCGTTCATCTGACATAGTCCGTTGCACAGCAAATTGTCGGATTATCGAGGATGTCTGATTATCGAATTCGGAGGACAGATCACGTCCATGATCGAAAACAGGACAATCATGATTCATATTCCCGAAGTTACTGTAAATAATACTAAAACGAAAATTAATTCAGAGTTCATATATTTTATTAGCACATAACATAAAAATGCACAACATTTATAAACCTCATTTGTAATATCAACCACATGTATAAATTTTACGAATAAAACCATTTACTCACGTTTCACATTCATGTACACGCTTCCGTAAACCTATGATGGAGCCCGTATGATACATGTACAGTACACTGTTTTCCTAACAAAAAAAGTCTTTGATGCTTTTCTGACATTCAGCCTTGCTCGTGATTTTCCTGAGAGTTTGTTGAATATTTTCAAGCGCATCAAGATCAGCCACGCTGAACGTGTCCAGATGGTGCTCAACAAAGCATGCAATCTCGGTCAAATGAGATTTGACAGTAGAAGCCTTTGGAACACGGGACTCCCGGATTAACGAGACTAAATAGCGTTGATTCAATTTGTTACCGACAAAAGAGTCGGATAAAGCCGATTGTCGGATAAACAGAGGTCGGATTAACGCGACTTGACTGTATCTGTATATTGTTACCCTTCCTTAAAAGTATAAAAGTGTATTCTTTATGATTTTCAATTTGGAACTTCTTGTAGATGTTTTCACGATACATCAATCAGATACACTGCTCACTTTTATCAAGATGTTACCAGCATCGATGCTCATTGACTAATTTAGTAATTAAAGGTCGCCTGTTGTGAACTCCAATAGAGAGTTTGTCGTGTAGTGTCTTGTCGAAAAGGTCTGATTTCTTTTAGATTGGTTTTTAATAGAGGTACCATGGTTACAAGATCTGTATCCACAATCCTTAGAGTAATATCTATGTGCTTCCTCATTCACGGAGTGCTCTGAAGCCATGTTTACTGAAAACCTTAGGTTGTAAAAAATATGTCAAGTTATCTGGCAGGTGAACTCGATAATATCAATCAGTACTGCTATCTGAGTTATGCTTGTGCCTTATCTGAAGGAAATTGTGAAATGCTTTGATCACTTACTACAGCGTATCCACTATGTGGTTAATAAGACCCATGTCACGCTTTGGGTAACAAATATATAAGAGAGTATCCTGGCTGGCTCGGATATTTACCTTTTGCATATCTCACTTTGATGAATAGCAGACAAATTCAAGAAAGATGCTCTTTTTTGAAAAAAACATGCAGTTCTTGTGATTGTGAATAATGAATTCATAAAGGAATATCATTCGATTGGTCGGATGTGGACCCGTGAAGATCCGGGTTAGAATTCATCTTCAGTAACCCATGCTTGTCGTAAGAGGCGACTGACAGGATCGGGTGGTCTGGCTTGCTGGCTTGGTTGACACATGTCATCGTGTGGCAACTGCGTAGATTGATGCTCATGTTGTTGATCACTGGATTGTCTGGTCCAACCTGCATTGTTTACACACTGCCGCCATATAGCTGGAATGTTGCTGAGTGTGGCGTAAAACTAAACTCACTCACTTTGATATGATGTTAGAACCCAATTTACCTCATCTGAAATAGCTTTGTGCTAAGTGTTAACTATGTTAAACAATGAATAACAGTTGAAACAATCATGTTTTGTCAATTTGTGAGACTTGTGTACTGAATAAATGTTTTCTTTGCCTATTATTTTTGTTGACATGATTTTAAATTATCTGTCTGGTACAAAATGCATTTCTTTCCCTGATTTTACACAAATGAATAAGTTAAAACTTTATGGCATTTGACAAGCTCAGATTATCAAATTTACATTTAAACTGTCAACAGATACTGTTCATTCAGTGGAATGTTAGAATTATTGGATGCCAATTTCATCATGTTCACATGCTTCATCACTTCATATCATTGTACATTTCATTGTGCTATACTTTTGATTATTTTCGTTGCTATGGATACAGAAAAGCATGCTTCTAAAATAACAAGATATATGAATATATCATTCCTCATTCAGGATATGATGTTTTCTGATCAGGATTGCTATTTTTGAGTTGTTTTATGTGACATTTACATGTGGTGATATTAATCTCAATGTGTGATAAATGCTAATAGTAAGAGGAATTAACTTCAAAGTAGGTTAATCGAAGAAATTGTAACTCACCATGTCTCATAAATTATTTATCAGCAAATTCATGTTTATTTTAACATGTCTCTTGTAATACATTGTCTTCTTATATGAATAATTTACAGATATTCCATATTATAATGTCCTGAGGCTTATTTCAACAATAGTTTGGCAATCATGACATAGCCCTACATGCCTGAAAGGGTTCAGATATTTTTTTGCACATTGTACACCTTTTTGTTTTTAAAGAAGTGTAAAATCACATGAAATATTTGAAATGTGATTATTCTGTGAAACATTGTTAGCAAAATCATTTCTTCGATCCATATTATGTACACATTTGGTGTACACTCAATTATATCATGTGCTATTTTGTGCTGTAGGTAGTATGGCCTAATATGGAAATAAATCGCTCTCTCTCTCTATAAAATCACATGAAAAAGATATATTAAGTGTTAAAACCGTGGGTTTTTACATGTCTCCCTACCAATACTTGGTCATTAAGCTTCCACAAAGTTTGGGGCGGTGGGGTAGCCTAGTGGTTAAAGCGTTCGCTCGTCACGCCGAAGACCCGGGTTCGAATCCCCACATGGGTACAATGTGTGAAGCCCATTTCTGGTGTCCCCCGCCGTGATGTTGCTGGAATATTGCTAAAAGTGGCGTAAAACTAAACTCAGTCAGTCAGTCAGTCCACAAAGTTTGAGAGAGGCTGCAACAATAAACACTTTCAGAAAATTCCTCAAGGTACATCTCTTTGACATTGCCTATACTCAATGATGTGTTTATTATTATATGAAGAGCCTTGGATGACCTGGTTGTTCAAATTGGGCAGTTGTTTTAGTGTTATTTTATGGACATGTAGAGATAAGTGAGGTTTATTTATTGTTTATAATCATTAGAAACACCATAGTAGATGATTCATTTGGTTCATGCTGATTCATTTGATTCAGCAAATATTCAGTTACTGCAGAAACAGTTTTATGTATTTGAGTATTTTGAGTTACATTATTTTGCCATTAGATATATATTAGTGGACTTGTTACCATGGTTACCGTAGTTTTAGCAAAATGAACTAATATTTATAGTTCTGTAGTTGACAAGGAATGTGCATGTTAAAGTAATTAAGTAGTGTTAGTTTGCAGTTGTGAACCATATCACTGTCTCTTATATTTAATTAAAACTGTACCTTTGGTGGTGGGTGGGACCAGTTTTGGTTCAGGTTAAATGTTTTTTAATGTTTCTCTCATTTTGGTATATTTCACATCTACTTTTGTAATAATTTGTAAATTACTTTATTTGTGATCATGTGACATGACGTGTATGTATGGTTGTTGTTGATGTTAATTGTCAAATAATAAACCTCCTTGAATCAGGCCGCCATATAGCTGTAACTCATTGCTGGGCTCATCATGCGTGAACCTGGTTCGATTCCCACATGGAGTACGATGTGAGAAGCCCTTTTCTGGTGTCGCCATGATTGCTTGAATATTGCTGAGTCGCGAGTCGGTGTAAAACTAAACTCACTCACTCCTTGAACCTTGGGTAGTGTAAAAGCCCATTTCTGGTGTCCCCTGCCATGATATTGCTGGAATATTGCTAAAACTAAACTCACTAACTCCTTGAACCTGGGGTAGCCGGGTTTATTATGCCGAGAACCTGGTTCGATTCCCCACATGGGTACGATGTGTGAAGCCCATTTCTGGTGTCCCCCGCCATGATATTGCTGGAATATTGCTAAAAGCGGTGTAAAACCCAACTCACTCACTCCTTGAATCATGATAATTCCTGTAGAGAAGATGGCGGTTTGTTAGCAGTGAATTGAAATGGTGGCTCACGTCCTGTTATGTTTGGTATTTATTGTTAAAGTTGAACGTGGTTAGTGCAGATATTTCTTACATTTATTGTTACGATACTCCGTTGATGTGTTCATGTTCTATATACATCTATTTACATGCTGTTGGTCACTGGATTGTCTGGTTCCGACTTGAGTAAGTACAGACTGAAGTCGTATAGCTGGAATATTGCTGAATGAGGCGTTAAACAACAAACAAACAAGTAAACAAATACGTGTATGTGTTGATCTTCTCAGCAGATATTCAGATGATGTTTCTTTTTGTCACAGAAAGCCAAGAATGGCACCTCGTCCATCTCGGACACCCCAGCCCTGGACAAGCCAGAGGAAAGTCAGGTAAATATGTCAGGTGTCACTGTAGAATGACCAGCTGTTGCAAGGATGGAACCAGCAGTAACCCAAGTATGTTTGTTTCATGGTTAGCATGTTGAGGTAATCTAAGGAGTTTCACTTGACCACGTGGTAACACTCGTAAGTGGCCAGTGATTTGGATCTATGGCAGGCTCTTTGACCTTGGCCAGTGGTGAGATTATCATAATTTCCGTACTTTAACAGTGTCTGCACAGGGCATCGACCCTTGGGTGAAATGTCACGGTTGAGTTATGAAAAAAGGTTGACGTCCTGTCTGTTTGACCTGTAACCAATATGCCGTGGGTTAAGGCAAGGAAATAATCCAGTGTTTTCACTAGGTGATAATCTGGATTATGCGGTTCAGAGCACAGACAACAGGAGAAAAGTACTATATTTCGTCCATTTTAATTTGTATACAAAATCATCCAATATGAAATGGATGAATGCAGCATCTGCAAACTCTTTGGTGCTGGTTTGTCCACTCCTAAGATGATGTCTTCGGACGTCCAGGCAACGTTCCAAGTCCCTGTATTTCTTTTTCTTCAATGGACGTTTTTGTCCGCCTTCAAACAGCAACAGGCAGACTTCAGTGTGAATCTGCTCCTCAGCAAGATATTTAGCAATACCAAATTTGGGTGGGCCTTTCATCTTCAGACAAGAGTGGCACCCTTCCAGATGGTTCCACTGGGATCTATGGACGTACCTCAATCCAGTAGCTGGTGATGTAATTACTGATGTGTAAGCAAAATTTCAAAAGGTCGACTTCTTGTCCAAAATGATACAAGTATATACAAGGTGACATGTATGAGAAACCTCACACCACTGTTTAGAGATTGACCAAATTTACTAAATGAGTTTTAGTTGCATTAGTTGGGTTTATATTAACTTCTTTGATTTGTTTCCTTAACTTTCTGGAGTGTGAATATCCCAGTTGTTTGCCCTAGGCTTGCCAAGAACCAAACGTTTGGGTTTGAATCCTGGTCTGCCTGAATTACATGTCTAGGTTTGTGTGCACCAGGGTGGTCATTGTTGATTTCACTAAAGTGTTAAATGTCTAAGTCCTGAATCACTTAAGACTCTCCTCAACCGACAAACTGACATTCAGTCATAAGGGAAATACTGTTTGAAGTGGTGTCATGCCAGTCTGACTTACTTACACTGAATTTTGATGTTTTGCATATTTGTATTGTTTCATAGTGAAATGTGATATTAAGGACCCATTTCTTTCAAGTACAAGGTCGTAACCATGGTAACTCTGTCAATTGCAGAGTGATGAAAAGGACACGGTTGAAGCTGCTGTAGTGGAGGCACCCAAAGAAACTGTGTTGGAGGAAGAAAAGGCCAGCAAGGAAGAAGAACCTCAATCCAAGGGAGATAACACCGACAAGGAAGTCATCAAACCAGGCAATAGCAATGTTAGTAGATGGCGTCCTGTGTTACATGTTTCATTTTTTCTTTACTTCTTTATTTATTGTTATTTCCCATAGGTGATCATGTCATGTATATGCTTTATGCATTTCAATTTTTACATACATTCAAAGTTTAGTGTAGTTCATCTGAGTGTCCCATGCTTGTAAGAGGCGACTAATGGGATCAGGTGGTCAGACTCACTGACTTGGTTGTCAGCGTAGTATACCAATTGCGTATATTGATGCTCATGCTGTTGATCACATGATTGTCTGGTGGGAATATTTACAGACTGCTGCCATATAGCTGGAATATTGCTGATTGCTGCATAAAACAATACAACCAAACCAGAAATCATCTGAGTGTATTGAACATGACTAATGCGATTTTGATGTCGTTTTAGAACCTTGAAGATCCAGGTTAGAATAATCAGTCACTTGGTTGTCAGGTCTTTAGCCTAGCCCAAATATCCTAGGACAAAAACTTCCCCGGGAAAGTTTGGCCTAGGCCAGATTCTCCCAGGGGAAAGTTTAGACCGGGGAAGAAATGGCCTGCTACACCGGGTTGGAGTTGATCTTCAGTAAACCATGCTGTCGTAAAAGCGACTAACGAGATCGGGTGGTCAGACTTGCTGACTTGGTTGACACATGTCATCGGTTCCCAATTACGCAGATCGATGCTCATGCTGTCAATCACTGGATTGTCTGGTCCAGACTCGATTATTTACAGACTGCTGCCATATAGCTGGAATATTGCTGAGTGCCATGTTAGACTAAACTCAGTCACTTCGCTGTTTTATAGCAAGTGTTTTGTTGATGCTATGTAAACAACACCAACATGTACCTCAGCTCATGATTTGAATATTTGCTTGCTAGATGAATGAATCTGCCTTGGAACCAAACAGTGACAAAGGCGAAAACCAGAAAAAGAAACCTGGTCGACCTAGAAAAATGGATTCAGGAGAAAAAGTGAAGAAGAAAATTGGTCGGCCACGTAAACATCCGGTTGTTGAAAGTGTAACTAAAGATGACGTTCAAGAGGCAGAGGTGGAGAAGGTTGCTGCAACAGGGGAGGCAACTCCAGAGGTGGACGTTGACTTATTTACCTACGTCCCTGGTAAGACTTCAGACCCAATTCAGTTATCTACTGTGTCGAGCATCGTGAGCGGCAGTGAGGGTACAGCAAGTATTGATGGAGAAACACTTGAGAACAGCATTAAATCTGGGGAAGGTAAACTCTTGAATGGTTCCAAACATGCAGAAGTGAAGAAATTATTGAAAAATAAATTACTGTCTCCAGATAGGACTCGTAAACGGAAAGCTAGTATGGACACAAGTTCTCAATCAAAGGTCAAGAAACCAGGGTCAAGGCCACCTGCGGAAGATTCAAGTAGTTCGCAAAAGCAACAGGACATGAATGATTTCCTGGATGCAACGCAGAAGGCTTTGTCGGGACAGGAGACCAACGGTGTTGCCGATGATCAAGAGGACGGGGATAGCTCTGCTTCCAATGTGATGGCCAAAGGTCCATGTATTGATAGTGATGATGATGATGAACAACTGAAATCATACTTGAATCCCCAAGGTCCAGCGAAGCCATGGAGTATTAAGAAGAAGAAGAGGAAACTCAACATGCCGATGTCTTCCAAGAGGAAAAGCCCCAAGAGCCCCGAGAACCTGAAGAGGCTTGCTGAAATGGCAACCATGCACAATTCTTTTGAGGCCTTGAATACTAGTTTTGTAGGTGAGCCTGAAGTTAATGATGGTGCTGCCTCCCACGTTGTTGATGGTGATAGTTTAGGTGGAGAAACAGACTCCTCCGCAATAAGCAGCAAAACCAAAAACATCGTCAAGAAAAATGCTTTTGCAGTGTTGAGGGAACAGTTGTCTCAAGAACCTCGGCTAAATGATGCCGTGCTGGATATTCATAATGGTGACATGATTCCTCCCATTCCAGATTCTGCTGAGGAGTTTCAGTCTCCCAAAAGGAGAAGTAAGAAATTCAAGGCTGAGCCTATTAAAGATGATATGGAGACGACAGCAGGCAGACCGGTAGAAGCAGGTAAGGCTAAGCAAGAAAATACTCTGTCAAAACCCGAAACGACAGATGTGAAGAAAGTAAATAAGGGGAACTCTCCTAGATCGAAGTTTCGCAAGAAAAGATTTCATAAATGGAACAAGAAAAAGAAACACAGTCCTGCGGTTCTACAGAGACTTGAGGCTCAGTTGAAAGCGATGAGAGCTGCAATCGCAGCCGAGAAGAACGCTGCCAGTCATGGCCTCCAGCCAGAACCAAGTCTCGTCCATGCAGGTCTGATGAACATTAAGAAGTACGGGAAGACAGTGTTGTCACAAATAAAAAGCAGTCAACATAATTCTGCAAATGATGGAGCTGATGATGTTGGTGAGTTGCTGTTTTCAACCCCAGCTTTGGGTAGCTTGCCTCCAGCACCACAGAGGCTTCAGGTAGCCAAGAGAGGCAGAGGCAGGGGTGGAAGGATGGGGAGAGGCGGTGGACTGACCACCAAGAAATCTTCTCCTATTGTTAGACTGAGCCCTCTTGGTCCTAAAAATGATACAGCGGACACAAACGAAAGTGTTTCCGATATCTTTTATGATGCTGAAATGATGGGTGCACATCCATCAAGAGATGAGGACCCACCTGTGCTCACAAAGATATCTGGCCTTGAACCAGTACAATCAAGCATGAAGCGGCCCAAGCTGTCTAATCATGGGGAGGCTCTGGATGGGTCAGATTTGCAGTCAAAAATGCAGGCTAAAAAATCATTCCTGAAACCGAGGGAAGCTACAGAGTTTGCAAATGACACTGGTGCAGTCTCCCTGAAGAACATTCTCCCAGCTTCTCGAAGGATGACAGCTCCAAAGAAAAATGCATTTGTTGTCAAGCGTAGTTACAAGAGATCCCTTCAGAACTGTGGAATGAACAGGGGCGGGAAGAAGGGATATGGTCGGGGAGGCAGAAGGGGAATTGCATCACGGAGGATGATGATGCGACCAGGAATGGCCATGTCAAAATCGAAAATGGGTGGTGGTGTTGACCCAGGTCAGCTTTCCCCTGATCAATGTTCTCGAGGAACTCCTCTTCACCGGTCACCACACCCACAAACATCCATCTTGGAATCGGATCCAATTCACCAGGGGGGATTTTATGGTAAAAATGTGCACCGTCGGGCTGAAGGTCGACGTAATTCCAGAGAGAGGTTGGCTGGGGGGATTGACCAGTCATCACCCTCTCGTGACTCTCGGCACAGTTCTGGGCAGGACTTCCGGAAGCGCCAGTCCCCTGGCAGTTACCGACGCTCCATGTCGGAGGACAATGACCAAGCTGTGAGTACCACCTTGACCTTTCTGGTTACATGTCCTTTGAATAAAGAATTAAATGAGGTTTAATCGCTGAGTCTTTCTGTATAGTAGATATTGTTTAGAGGGAAGTCATGTCATAGTGCAATCTCAGTGTACTGCTTCAACATTATGACAGGTGTAAATCAGGGGAGTACACAAAGTATGATCTAGACGTGATCCAGTTGTCGGACATACGTTTTGTGGAAGCCTGACTGGCTCAGTGAGATACCAGACTATGTGTGTTTGGGATTAGGTGCCTCATTCTGGGAGTGTGGCTTGATTCCCCAGTGGGACTCAACCCTTAGAAAGTACTAGATTTGTACGTACTAAGAAAATGGGATCCAAATGTTACATTTGTTAAAGACTGACGGTTAGCTTCTAGTCCTGTAGGCCACTTTGTTTCATACTCCCCAGTGCACTCAGATCCACTGACCAGGGTTAAAATGAATGGTATATGAATTAGTGGTGATCTGATTAATTGAAATAATCTCAAATTGGTCGCAATGACTAAACGACCAAGCAATTGATCATGTTTTCTCATAATCAAACACAAACAATTTTGGAACACATGTTTGCATTAACAATATTTTTCACAAGGTTGGTTTTGTCTGTTACATTTCATAAGCACTACCTGCTTGTTCCAAGCCATGATTGAATTTATCTTAAAGACTCCAGGAAATTTATGTTCCTAGCATCCTAGTCATCCTTTAAAGATGTGAAATTTGAAAAAAGCCCGAAAGAGCTACATATATTTTTTCTTCATTGTTTTGTGGATTAACAAACATAACCAGGAAAATTTGATAAATGAGGCCAACCAATTATTTCCGATAATTGATCGGTTGTAATGAACCAATCATCAATTATGAGATTTTAACCAATTCCCAACACTAATATAATTGAGAGACAGGTGTTGTCTCAAGCTTGGATATTATGGACAAGGCAGCTCAGTGTATTACATGGATGCTTCTGTGGTAAAATGGTATTCTCTTGTGTCCAGTGTTAATTCAGAATGTTGAATCCCAGTTTGACTGCTGTGTCTATAATGCTACTTTGTTAGCTGAGTGGTAACCATCGATGTGTTGTTGCAGAGTGGATCTGAGCAGAACAGTAACAAATCCTTCAGTTACTCTCCCAACAGGAAGTCTGGGATTGGCAGCACAGTTGGAGCAGGTGAGATGGGGAAATAACTTCAAAGTAGTCTATACAGGGAGGGCAATAACTTCAAAATAGCCTGTGCAGAGAAGGGAATAACTTCAGAGTTGCCTATACAGGGAGGAAAATAACTTCAAATTAGTCTATACAGGGAGGGAAATAACTTCAAAGTTGTTTATACAGGGAGGGAAATAACTCAAAGTAGTCTTTATACAGGGAGGGAAATAACTTCAAAGTAGTCTATACAGGGAGGGAAATAACTTCAAAGTTGTTTATACAGGGAGGTCAAAGTTGTCTATACAGGGAGGGAAATAACTTCAAAGTTGTCTATACAGGGAGGGAAATAACTTCAAAGTAGTCTATAGTTGTTTATACAGGGAGGGAAATAACTTCAAAGTTGTTATACAGGGGAGGAAATAACTTCAAAGTTGTTTATACAGGGAGGAAATAACTTCAAAGTAGTCTATACAGGAGGAAATAACTTCAAAGTAGTCTATACAGGGAGGGAAATAACTTCAAAGTTGTCTATACAGGGAGGAAATAACTTCAAAGTTGTTTATACAGGGAGGAAATAACTTCAAAGTTGTCTATAAAGGAGGAGGAAATAACTTCAAAGTTGTCTATACAGGAAGGAAATAACTTCAAAGTTGTCTATACAGGAGGAAATAACTTCTATAAAGTAGTCTATAAAGGAGGGAAATAACTTCAAAGTTGTCTATACAGGGAAGGAAATAACTTCAAAGTTGTCTATACAGGAGGAAATAACTTCAAAGTAGTCTATACAGGGAGGGAAATAACTTCAAAGTTGTCTATACAGGGAGGGAAATAACTTCAAAGTTGTCTATACAGGGAGGAAATAACTTCAAAGTAGTCTATACAGGAGGAGGGAAATAACTTCAAAGTTGTCTATACAGGAAGGAAGTCTTCAAAGTTGTCTATACAGGAGGAAATCACTTCAGGAAAGTAGTCTATACAGGAAGGGAATAACTTCAAAGTTGTCTATACAGGGAAGGAAATAACTTCAAAGTTGTCTATACAGGGAGGAAATAACTTCAAAATCTATCAAAAGGAAGGGAATAACTTCAAAGTTGTCTATACAGGGAGGGAAATAACTTCAAAGTTGTCTATAAAGGAAGGGAATAACTTCAAAGTAGTCTATAAAGGAAGGGAATAACTTCAAAGTAGTCTATACAGGAAGGGAATAACTTCAAAGTAGTCTATACAGGGAGGGAATAACTTCAAAGTAGTCTATAAAGGAAGGGAATAACTTCAAAGTTATCTATACAGGGAGGGAAATAACTAGGCCAGTACTTATTTTCATGTAATAGTGAAAACCGCTTTTAGCAATTTTGTTTATTTTGGCAATATTTGAAAGGAAAGGAAAGTATTTTGTATTTGTGAAGGTTCCCGCTATTCATTCACCCTGTGATACAAAATGTATTGATGCTATTATTGACAGTCAATGACATGGGCTTCTTGAGAGTAAAGTGACAAAACCCGTTTGTGTGTTCAGTTATATCCCAGTTGTTTGGGGATGAAATCCCTCGCCTGGTCCCTGGGAGCGGCTACGTCATCAACGTGAGACTGGACGTGGAGCGGAAGGAGGCCACAGGCACCCACAAGAGTCACAAGAATGTCTCCACCCAGGAGGACCTGGACTATGACAGGAGGTACGTCACCCACACTCAACCCAGAAGTCATCCGTGAAGTCTCGAGTTAGAATTGGTCTTCTGCAACCCATGCTTGTATCCAAATTGTGTAGGTCTATGCTCACGCTGGTCTTTTATTTCGAGACCACCGCCATATAGCTGTAATATTGCTGAGTGCGGCGTTAAACAACAAACGACCAACCTAGAGTTGCATCGCTCAGTTGTGCCGCCACTTGTTGGTCATAGTGCCACTGACCGCCTCCGTGGTGTAGTGGTTAGAACGTCCGCCCGGAGAGCGGAAGGTCGCGGGTTCGATCCCCGACCGTGTCATACCAAAACACGTTAAAATATGGTACTTGTTGGTCCCTGCCTGGCGCTCGGCATTAATGGGTACAACAAGAACTGGTGGGCTCGGAGTCAGTATAATGTGTCTGAGTGGGGTGTTCATGCTTCACTGCAGCCTGGTATCTCAGTGGGCTAGCACTATAAAACCAGCTTAAGTCTGGGCTAGTACAAGCAGCCGCACATACACATACACACGCATGCATGTCGTCATATGAGCGAAATATTCTCAAGCACGACGTTAAACCCAATTTCACCTCACCTCATAGTGCCACTTACTGTTCCTACTAATGCAGTAGGGAATCAGTCCTTGGAAGAAATCCTTCAGAAACTCAACAAACAACACAGAAGTGTGATAGAATTAACAATGGTATTCCAAAATCAACTAAATTAAGAAATGAATACAAATCATTACAAAGATATTACAGTAACCCTGCAAATTCAAAGTCAGTTAAGGCCTAAAAAAAGAAAAGTGTTGACTGACCGACCGACCGACCCTTGAATTCTGGTGCCGACCCTATTTTTTTTAAGCAGACTGAATAAGATAAGCTTTCAGATACCATTGTTTTTCTCCAGTGCCAACAGATATCAGTCATTCTGATAGAGAAAGTTGATATGAGGGTTGCAAGCTTGATTGAATAAACAATTACACATTGATACATGTGTTATTAGTTTGTACTTTCCTTCTAAAAAATGTAAAAAAAGAAACATTCCTACCTCCCTACCCTAATTTTTGAAGAGGTGTAATCAGAACCACAACATTTTTTTATTTGGCCTTAATACAAAAACAATGATTATGGCAATAAAGACAGAGATGGTAATATATCCATCTCACTGCAACAATGGTGGAGTTTCCAAAATTAGGCTGAGTATCCAGAATTACCTCAACACAATGGCAGGTCTTCTCGTAACTTGGGATGTATTGTGAGATGAAAGGCAAGAGGTAGCTCTCGTTATATTCCGGAGAAAAACTACTCCTTATGATTCTCGAACTCCCAGGGTCAGAAGATAGTGGACAGGCCCATAGGGTTATAGTACTCTAAATGTGTAGCACAAGTCGAAATACAGCCTGCCACTGACTATCCACATCTACAATTTACTACACTTTAAACTTTTAAGGCAAGAATTTTGGATGTCAACTTGTTCTTTTTTTTCTTTTTTTTGAAGGACATGACATTACTTCTTACTCCTTCATCAGGTTAATCATTCCTCAAAATATCCCTGAAAGTTTTGCCTTTATGTATATCACATCAAAATGTTGTTCAAAGACCTGGATCATCGTTACACAATGAATAACGCTGCCACAAAATAATAGGCTGTAGTTCTCTCTGAATATGATACTTTGCTAGCACCGTAGTAGTAAAAGATTGTAACAGCTTATAGAAAACACTTTTTAATGATATGAATATGAATGGGATTTATGGGGTAAAAATATCATGGGTGTAGTGATACTCTTTTCCTTGTATATATTTCTAGTATTGATTTTTCAATTTCCTGTTCGACATATTTTCAGACGCCATCATTCCACATCTAGGGAGAAATCGACACACGTCTCGTCCACTGTCAACTCCTACACCCGTAAACCATCTCATTCCGAGCCCCAACCATCCACATCCGCCTCTCCAGACGACCCTTACCAAAGGGAGAGAACTTCACAGCAACCTCACATTTCCGATGTTGACCTGTGCGCCATGTTGGAAGAGAGGATATCATCTCGTAGAGGACTGCGGGTGGATGTACGAGACAATCTCCTGGACAATATCAAACATGTAGAGCGTGTACTCAAAGAATCTTCCTGATTTCCGAAGATTGATGTTGTGATGTGTGTTGTGTCTTCCTGAACAGGAACTGTGAACGTGGTGAATGTTTTGTGATAAATTTCGTATTAAAACCATGCACTTTCACATTTATGCACTAGATTAGAAACAGCGCATCCTGCAGCAGTTCAACTGCGATGTGGATGAGGATCAGTTTGAGAGTGCTTGTTTCTATAATTGTTTTGCTGGTCAAGCTTGGAGCTTTTGTTTGATGCATTTGACTATACATGTCTTAGATTCTTTCTTTAGATGATTAGGCAAAAACTAAAGTCATGTTATATTATAGTGTTGACATTTGAGTTGGCGATTTTCAGTCCAGACTCTTTTTGTTTATTGGTGTACCGATTCAACCTGCACTTAATTAATGGGGAAAAAATAATCTGAAAATACTTTTTTCATTCTGTTATCATTCACCGCAATCAAATTGTATAAAACTGACATATTTTTTTCTATGAGACAAGCATTGCAAAGGTAGACACTTACTCAGATGGTTTTGAAGAATGTGATCTGTCATGTTAGTTTTACTTATATTGTCTTTCCCATCTACAGATCAGGATTTTTCTCACCAAGGAGCATAAGCCAAGGAATGAAAACATTCTGATCTGATGCAAATATTCTGATGTTCTAACTGTTTACCTGGGATGAAAATCAAGGTGGTTATATCCATGTCTGAATCTGTCACTGTATGAACTAAGAAACTACTCCAGTTGATGAGAATAAAGTTTGTTCTGGCTAATGAGGTGACACCAGTGTATGTTCTTCAGGAATTAATGCAGGGTGCGATTTCGTTTTTATCCAGTACCTGCAACAAGTGCACCCTGGCTTTTAGGTGTGGTTGCACCATCAAGATTTTGGTTGCACCAAAAGATCATATCATTGGTTCAAAAGAGTAACATAAATACTTGTTTAGCAATTTTCATAACAAGTACTCAGTGTCCGATAATTCAACAGAACCTGACCCCATGATGAACAATGATGAAGGATTCTGTTTCAGTTTTGCATTACCTTTATATACTGAACATCATTGAAACGCACCATTTATAAAAGTTCAGATTATTAAAAGCTTGTGTAAGGAATTGATATTTTTTGAGTGGATAATAACAGATGGACGACTGACAAAAACAACAACACAGAAAAGATGCTCATTCATTGAAATGTTCCACAGTCAGAAAGGATCAAACACACGTGGGGTCAAATCGAAAAGTTCAATATCGCGTGTGACCGCCATTTGCATTGACACTTGCAGTTCAACGTCTCCTCATTGAGTCAATAAGCGTCGAATAGAGTTCTTGAGGATGGCATATCACTGATATGGACAAGGTCAGTATGGCGATCCTGATGGAGCGTCGTAGCACATTGTTGCCAAGGTCATTGACGGTCACGGGTGCTGCCTGTCTACTGATGTCATCTATGAGCCTAACGATGGTGGAGTGGCCAAGTCAAAGTTTTCGAGCAATATCCCTGCTGCTGGTGCCAACCTGAATCATGCCTAGTGCACGTTCTCTTTCGTGAGGTGTTAACCTCGGCATCTCTGTCCTCGTTTCACAATCGTAAGTGAAGCAATGAGAATCGGTTCTCATACACCTGCTTTTAATGTCACAGTCAGTATGATTTCAGAATGTAATTCACGCTTTTTTCATGGCGTGGCTGCATGTTGATGCATTTTGGAATTAAGAGTCATACTGTGGACAGGAATTTGTTTCTAAAGCAGTTTTTCAACTAGACATGCCCTTCAACTTCATGTTAGTTATATTCATTGATCATTGTCATGCTGAAATACATCATGATGAAAATATGGACAATTTTAGACTGGTGAGTTTTCAATGATGTTCAGTATATATAAATCTCCGTTATATGATTACTGCTACGTAGCTGATTTACGAGTACACAAATGTTTCTGCTTGTAACAAGTCACAGAGAGACAGAAAGGTATTACTTCTAGTCTCATACTTACAAATTAAAATACATGATAATAGCTGTAAGATGTTGGAGGATTTATTGGTACCTCCACCTGGTGCAACCTGTTACTGAAGGCAACCTGCACCAGCCATTTTTAACATGCATCGGTGCAGGTTTTGAATAGTGAATTCACACCCTGTAATGTTTTTTTTTTATTAAAAGATAACCTTGTCTTACAAAGACCGAAGTTATTGAATAGATGTGTGCCGATTATTGTAACTACAGGACCCTGGAACCTGATTGTTCTTATGAGGCTCTGGTGAGATTCTGATCCATGCCACTTTTTCTGATATGAACTGACATGTAGTTTTATTGAAGGAGTATTTTGCCCTGTTCTGTTTGTAGGACAGTGGATACTGATGAAATTCATTGTGTGGATGATTGTTGTCGGTAAACACATATATTTGATGACTGTGCGCATGACACCCTGAGTCCAGAAGCGATGAGTTCCTTGAGTGATGAACTTGAATTCAAAGCCAGAAGCCTTAAATGTAGGTGCTGAAGATGTTTGTGTCAGTTCCTGACATATGTTTCTTCTATGTATGATTAGGAGGAGATTCGAGATGTTTTGGTGTTTTGGATAAGAAGTTACTTGTACGTGTTGGTTTAGCTGGGGTAGCAAGTACCCCAGTTCTTGACTCCTCCCTCAGACAGCACTTCTGTTCTTGACTCTGCTCACAGTCAGCACCCCATTTTATTAATCCACTGATAGACCATACGCCAGGTTTTGAATCCACCCACAGACTACACTCCAGGTTTTGAATCCATCCGCAGACTACACCCCAGGGTTTGAATCCACCCTCAGACTACACCCAGGTTTTGAATCCACCCACAGACTACACTCCAGGTTTTGAATCCACCCTCAGACTACACCCCAGGTTTTGAATCCACCCACAGACTACACCCCAGGTTTTGAATCCACCCACAGACTACACCCCAGGTTTTGAATCCACCCTCAGACTACACCCCAGGTTTTGAATCCACCCTCAGACTACACCCCAGGTTTTGAATCCACCCTCAGACTACACCCCAGGTTTTAATCCACCCACAGACCACTATCCACTCACACACAACACTAGTATTAAATCCACCTACACAAAGTTTCAGTACTTCCATACTAATTATATGCAATGTACTCAAATGCCATCAATATCCCAGAAGGATATTTTTTTTATACTGTTATGCAGAATTGTAATGGTAATAGAAACGATCAGTTGCTTTAACATAGATTATACCACTAGGGTATGTTATGTCCATTGTTCTGGCAGGTTGATTTTCTGTGTATCAACCTTCTATCTGCACGTGCAGAGGTTGATATGTGGATAACAACCTTGGCGGTGCAGGAAACGCACGTGCAACAAGCAATGTACGAGTCCATTCGGCGACCACGTGGTATAAGTAGGTTAGCACCCCCCCTCTACGGGTGATATGGATTCAACGCTCTCGCCTGACGGCTCGAGCGTTGAAATCCATATCACCCTTGAGGGTGCTAACGTATACTTATAATGAGACAGGTTTACGAAAACACCTTGCCCAGTCAAAACGAAACTCAACTATTTCATTGAATCTGTTTTCACTTGGATTGTTTCTTCAGTTTAGATGTGCATACATTTTCAATATATATATGAGCATGTCCACGTGTTTATTTTTGTGACTTAGTAACTCCTTGCATTCCATCGATGTTGTTATCTGTCATGACTTGGAGTCGGTACTAACAGTACTTTATGTGGATAATATAGGTTATCTCCCCTTTTGTCAATGTCAAAAGAAGGGGACTACTTAGAATGGCTGAACATGAGTGGAGGTTATCTGTCCTCTTTAGTCATTGACATTTTGGCACGTAGTGTCTGTCTCTGTATGTGTGGATGCATTTTAAGTGATACATAATTTCAAAACGATAATACTTTGACGGTAAAGTATAACTTCTTACTCTCAAAGTGCAATGATAATCAAACACCCACTATATACAATGTGCATTACTAAAGTACTGTCGGAAATGCTAGAAAAATGCTTTTTGACTTATATTTAAAATTCAGAGGTATTACAGTTACTTAAATAACAAATATCACTTCAAGAAACATCTACCTAATGTAGACCGAGGGAATAAATTTTGAGACATGCTCTAAAATGTGTTTTTACTGATGAAAATACCAAAAACTTAGAAAAATAAGGGGTAGTGGGACGTTATTTGAAACAAACATTAACTGCCTGTGTTACGTCATCAGCATGCACGGTATCGACAGGTGAAATTGACACCTGAGCACACGCTCGGGCGAGGGGTCATCTCAATAGATGTTTTCTGCAAAATGTTGAATATGTGTATGCATTATAGTATACATTATCAGTTATGTAAGGGATCATTTGTGTATGTGTGTTTGTTTTGAAATAAACACGAATTACTGTACATTGGAAAGAATCCTATCACTTGTGTTATCTTATCGATTGATTGTAGAAATGTGCAACGTTTTAATAAATGTTTTGCATGTCAACAGTATATTTCATTGAAAAATATGGATGTAATTCGGTCAGTTTAATCTAGTTGTGAACATTGGCCAAAGATTTAACGAAGTCACTGGTGTAGCTTCTTTAGAATATATATATTTTTCTTCTCATAAAGTTTGTAGACCGCCCGTCTAAGCACTCCCTTGTCAAAGTTGTCAAGGATGGTTTTACGTCCCCGGTTTTGCATTTGAGACGGTCCCTGTCTTGTCTGATTTGTTTACAATATTGTAAACTTGTTGGTAAGACATGCCAACAGCTCTACAAGTTCTGTAATAAACCCTTTCTAAACTAATGAAAGTTGTAACTCTGTCTTTTTTAAGCAGAAAAACCTATAAACCTTTGCAACAATCGACTGCAGATCGTTGGCCATAGTGGACGCTGTGATAAAGATGTGCATGCATGACGGGAAACTTATTTACCAAGACTTAACATTTATATTAATATTTCTTCCATAAAGAAAACGATAATTAAGTAAAGTAACACAAACATTCCACATTTATTTGTTTAGGAAAAACGTTAATTCATATTTTTACACCACCTGTATTATTAGCATAAATGTAAAGACTATTTCAGATTTCTGTTGTTGAACTCTGAAAAAATCTTAAGTTGCTGTTTTGTTACCAAATTCTCTCCTGTAAACTGCCCTTTAAATGCATGGGAATGTTAAATTGATTGAAATAAAAATTAGGTAGACAATAGGCGAGTTGATATATTGACAACATAGTACATTTATCACCCTTATAAAGATATTAAGGCTAAAAAGCATTTTTCTAGCATTTCCGACAGTACTTTAGTCAGTAGAAAATTATTCCTTTTATGTAAAATCATGGATGTTGAGAATTTCCTGTGTCATCATGGATGTACATGTGAGGTTGAATTATGTTTACCTGCTGTCGTATGGAAGGGACACCTCTTCACCAAGATACTTGGTTGGTACAACAGCATTCAGTGGCTTGTAAAAATAGCCACTGGCCTGACTGGCTGATGGAGTTTCATGGGGTCATTTTGTTATTATATCTCTCTCCAACTTGTTAAGTTATAATCCACAGTCACTGGCCTGACTGGCTGATGGAGTTTCATGGGGTCATTTTGTTATTATATCTCTCTCTCCAACTTGTTAAGTTATAATACACTTTTAGATCATGCAAGGTTATTTTTCAATATTGAGAATAAGTAGTATTATGTAACCAGTGTTGTCATATAATTAAATCTAGTTCCCTCTAGGCAACAGTGAATTACTTGAGTAGATCTTAATCAGGCTAGACATTTTGAACATCCAATACTCTACTTTCTCTGCTCTTAAGACTTTTTTGTCGGATCTCTTCTGAAAAGTTTGAAAAAATGAATTTCTGTCATCCACTCCTGAAATCTTCCTTGCCCAAAATAAGCATCTCTTCAGTTTAGCAGACATTGAATGTGGCTATTATTGCTGTCATTTTATATGAACAGTACTACATGATTGTTATTATTTGAATAAACTCAGAGTATTCTTCGGTTTTTTAATTTTGTTATCAACAGAATCAGTTAACACCAGTGGCAAGAAATATATATCTATTAGGCCTTTTTTTTAATTACTTGGTTTACGGATTTAAAAAATAAATAATATTAGGTCGGTAGCGAGGGGGAAAGAAGGGAATATGGAGATATTATTTGACCACTTGAGTATATCATTTATGCCAGGTGCAGCATGCCAGCTGAGCAGCCTGTGGCATTAGCTTTCTCTCTGTTCCACTCTGTTTCAGGGAATATTCGAACGGTGCAATTTGCTATTTTTTTATTTTTTCCCCCACTTTCTTCACATTTTGGGCCAGCAGATCCATAAACTAAGTAATAAATTTTAAAAAGGCCTTAGGTTAAATTCTATACCCGTGTCACATAGCTTAAAAAATACAATGGTTGAAACTTGAAAGATTGAATGTTGAGAATGTGAACAAATTAGTGTTGTGTGAAGAGGAACCTCACCCTACCTAGGACAATCTTTGTTGTGGAACATTATTGATTTTCTTTCATGAGAAAGAGGACATGTATGGAATCTGTATTGGGCAGGAGTGGATCAAGGAAATGTGATACTACTTTGTGCCTTGATGACTATATATTTGTAATTATATTGATGTCAAAGGAGAGCGCACAATAGTTTTGAAGGCAGAGCACACTGGTTTGAAGGGAGGGCACTGTAAAGTGCCCAAAGTAGAGCACTGTAATTTGACCAGATTCCAAGCTTTGTTGTATTGAGTCGCATTTAGTTGTAGTTTTTGTGTTAATAAAATTGATTGTGGAGAGATGTTTGCCTCTGTAACTGCCAACCCACCCTAAAACATTTTCTGCAGGGATTAATGGGAAGTGATGATTCGCAAAAGAGTAAAATCAAATGGACAGTTCAGTGTACTGACATAGATGAAGAGTTAAAATATGTGAATTTAATTTTTTGAAAATATACTTTATTTTAGATATTTGCACTTTGCCTGTAAATTGCTTGGATATACTGGCTCCAAAAGTTTCCTAGATAATCCCGAAACCTTTTTATATAGGGCATTGTGTACTTAGTTTAGAAATAGCTTTCATGGTATATCGTTTCAATGTTTATGCTTTCAGAAATGTCTTTTTGAAGCAAGTTTCAATATGAATATGGTCAATATGAATATATTTGTGTTTTTTCAATGTTTATGATGATAAAAGTTGTTGTCCGTGTTGTCTGTCATTGTATCCATGATTATCCAGACTGTTTCTGAGCAGGAGCAGAATTTGCCTGTCATGTCACTGCATAGGTGACAAGCTTAAGTAGTGATTTTAAAAGAAAACTAAGAAAATTTACTCTAACTCATTCAGACAAGGATGTATGGCCCAGCCATTTAGGTGCCCCAATTTGCTGTGCAGAGTTGCCTCCCTTGAGCACACCAGAATCCTAAAGGTTTATCAGCACCATACATGTGCTTGGTCTTATTGATGTGTTAAATATTTAAAACCTGGATCACTTTGGGCTATCATCCCACATTAAACTGACACGCGTTAGGGTACCTGGTCACAAACCTATTACTGACGTTTATTGAAATCTTTCTGAAACGATATGGATCAAGAGTTGTTATTTGTGGGGCTGTTTTGTTTGTTATATCATAAAAATAATGTAAGAGCTGTTGTATCAAAATGACGGTTCAGATGATGGTGTTTTGTTGAATACATAAATGTTACGCTTATAATTTTAAATGTAAGGTTGGATAGACATGGTTAAGATTGTTCACTGTCTACAGTTTGTTGAACACTGCTCTGGGACTTAAATCCTTAGGGTATTGGATTAGATATGAAGGTACATGTTAGCAACTGTTTTCTTGTCGCACTATCTCTGTCCTAGAACAGAGCCAAATGCTGGATTGCATTTACATTCCTGCTTGACAACGGTAAAAGAATCTGAATCGAAACGTCGCACTCGTGTAATAGAAGTTGTTATTCAGAAACATTGTATGTCCGAACTTCTATAATGCCACTCAAAGAAACAAATGCTGGAGTTTAAGAAATATGTAAATGCTTCTGCCCACTTCAAGTTCAAATCCAACAGAAACAAAGCAAATGGATCTGTAAATTTGGCTGCATAAGGTGTTTTCGACGAGGATATAGACATGAATCAGAACTTGAGGCTATACCATGTTTTTGATCATCATTAGTGTAAATAATACATGGAGATGGCCTGTATGAACTTAGAATAACCCGTCTTCCCATGTGATTTGTTTCCACAGTACAGTTGTGGTGGATCTGGTAACTTGGTTGAGACTGGTCATGTGTGGCTTGGAACAATGATTATGCTTCCAACCGAGATTAATTATATTCTACAGTGGTATAACTCAGCATAAAACAATATGTATGTCATCATGAGGTGAACATTTTTCCCGATATTCTTGTGGTCATTCATTTGATCTGAGCTTCCTTCTGTGCATTGTGTCCATGTCTTGAGCTGATTTGCCAAGGATTTCAATAACATTCATGACCAAAACAACTCATAAAGGAATATGTTCCTCTCAGGGATGTATCTCCCTGCTTCCTTGTTAGGCCATGGGGTGGCGCGCCAAGAAATATTTTTTTTCCCCTCAATCCTGACTTTCAAAAGATCCTCATCTTCCACAAGCAGAGAATTGTGTGTTGGGTGAGCTTACTTTGATGTTTGTATATATCTGCTTTGTTTAAAGCTCATGGTATAAAATAAATAGTACATGTTAGCTTAATCAATTGCTATATTTTTTTTCACCCAGAAAATAATGAAGCTGCAATTTTTCATGAAAAGGTTATAAATTTTCATTTGCGATTTTTCATGAAAAGGTTATTAATTTTCATTTGCATAATATGACTAATGATGCTGTTTTGCTTCCCAATGTTGATTTGACGCAGTAATTTGGGTGAAAGAAATCTGATGATAGAATTCATATTATTATCCACATCAAAAAGAATACATCTCCGTAGATCATCACTTGTTGCCTACTGACATATCGCACAGTTATGTAAAGTGAAGACAATTTTACTGAACTTGGTCACATTTATACTGGCATAGCTTTAGTTGACACTCTTGATCTTGGGAATTTGGTTCCCTATCAAGACATTAAATACAAATTGAGTAATGATGATTCATCGAATACCAGAAGAGAACTTGGTCGCTGAGCCAAAGATCATAGCTCTCGGCTGGACAAGGCAACAAAACAGGTGCTCTCATCTCTGTAAATACACATTGTCCGTTTCAGTTTACTATTATGGTAGTGTAGCTCATGCTTGTTATGGTGTTGTTGCAAAATGTTTGTATTCCTTGTTTACTGATTTGGTCCAACAGTGTGGCAGTATCAAGATGAGCCAAAGAAAGAATGCAGAATATTTTATCTTTTTTGTTGTGCTGTAAATTGAATTTCTGTCCATCTCAACTGGAAATGTCTGACAAGTTTGTCTCTGTGTGAAGCGTGCAAGTGAGCAACCACTGAGGTTGTGTTGGAATAAACCTGATGTCAGTGATTTAGGCGACTTACTGTTTCTCTTCAACTCCTGGAGTTTCCCCATACTTGATGTATGTTTGTTGTTTAATGCTGCATTCAGCTATATAATGGCAGATGTTACTGACGTCATCTAACCCCATTTGTCTCTTCAACATCTGGAGTTTCCCCCATGCTTGATGTATTTTATTTTAATGATGCAGCATTCAGTAATATATGATGGCAGAGTGTAAATAATGGGAGACTGGATCAATCATCATGATGATCATCTAAATCCTGACCACCAGACCTCGTTCCACCTCTTACAACAAGCATGGGTTGAAGACCATAGCTAGATATTCAGGTGATCACTCTGGCGTTGTGCTGGATGGTGTGGACGTCTTGCTCATGCTATCAACCTGTCATTGTACTTGTCATCATAAAGGCAGGAAGCTTGTTTCTCTCTGAGGAATGCTGATTTGACTCATGTAAACCGTAGTATGTGTAACGACATGGCTACAATAAAAAAGCTTTATTACTTTGCAAAATACTGGGAGATTCAACATCAAGACAATCTGTTGATTATGACAAAAAAGAAATATTTTGACAAGTAATTCAGAAACTGACATCACAAGACATGATTAATGGTTATGTACAGTGTATCACAACACAATCACAGGATTTCAAATGAAACAAGGATTTACACAATAGTCCCTACCCGGGTACATATATGTATACTAATACATGCAAAAGTAAATCACAAAATACATTGCAGACTGGAATGTTGTGTATTCACTCCAAAACAAATGCCATGTTCATGTGGTTCATGGACAACCTTCACTACCATCACTGTGCTAAAATTACTTACCACATACCTTAGTCATTTAAAGACTGGGTAGAAGAATTTCAATTTAGAAGGAATAAACATCCTGTGCAAAAATGGTTTGCAGTTTGATTTAGTGTGCCATGCAGTACAATGGTGGCCGAGTTTTCTTTCAAAGATGTAAAAAAAATAAAATATTCGAGGACGGAAATTTAGGACCATAGAAGAAAAGAACCAACAAATGTACAGGCCGGTCATGTCGATGAAGGTGAATGCTGATGATATTTTCCACCTCACTTCTTTGAAAGAAAAGCCAATTACAGTGATTCCAGTCATCTTAATCCTATCCTAATATTTTGATGTAAAACAGAGTAAAAGTGTAAAATTTAAAATTTTTGACTGCTATGTTTTGATAACTGTAGATAAAATGCTATCTACAGGATGTACGACTCACACTGACAATCACAACCAAAAGAAATGTGAAAGCTGTCAGTTCTACTTCCTATAAAAGCTTTAACTGCCATTACATTATCAAGAGGATACAAAACCAGGGATTTACAGGATGCGAATTCCTGCATCCTATACGCATAACAATTGACAATGGACGCAACAGGGACTCAGAAAAAGTCCAAATACTTTTGTAAAAATTCCAATCAAGTGACAATAAGTTATCACTGAGTTTGCTACTAGCTGGGTAAAGGTATTATTTGCAATTTAATTACTGTAACAATGTGATGATCATGATACACAATACAATAACAGTATTAATAATAATATTTAAGTGTATGGGACCCCCATTTTGTTGTCCAGGACCCCTGAAAATTAAGAGCATGAGTCCCAAGGACCCTCAAATACAGGACTCCAGGTAAATCCCTGACAAAACAATACTGCTCCTTTATTGCCAAGACTAACATTGAGCCTAAGCGCTAATCTGAACAGTTATTAGCTATTTATATATTTGTATCTTTATATATTAATGAGTAGTAAACATCTGAATGGTGTTTTATCAAGCACTATGCATGTCATTCTTGTTACACAAACTCCATGACAGCATACAACATCCGTTTGCTCTTGTAATGTGGATGCTGCGCGGATGCGGCCATTACAAATGTGAATTTCTTCCCTCTAATATAGGCTTATGTTTGCCTGAGGGCATAGAAAGTCATAAACCATTTCAGAATTCACGATTTTGAAGATGAAATTGTTTCATGACATTGCAGATCAACAGAAAATACTAAGTTTGATATTCACAAAAGCTGCTACATGTATTTAGGTGTGGAGAGATCTGGCATCATGACCTGACAGTCACTAATGTGCGTTTAGGCTATTGCTGTGAGGAGCTTGGTCTATTATGCTCATACAATGAAAAATAGTTAACATTATAACGCTCTCACATTACAAGAATAATTAAACAATATATGGATTTCTTAACAGGCAACTAGCAGCCCAATAGTATACTGATACAATGAAAGATAGTAAACAAGATCATGTTTTCAAATTACAAGAATAAATAAACAATATATGGATTTCTAGGCAGGCCACTAGCAGCCCAGTAATAAATGCTAAACAGAATGTAGAATGAGCTTTGGCTGAAGAGTTGTCTGTTCGCTTATTCTATAAATAGGAATAGTACATTTGATTGTTTTTCACAAAATTAGAATAAATAAACAACAGATGGTTTCTAAAAATATCAAGAAGTGTAATAAAAGCACTTCAGACCATATATCCACTAAAACAAATCTTTAAATGAACACATCTTCCACCCTGCTTTATCAATACATAACGTAGAGAGAATACATGCAAATGTGTGGTTTCAGAAATTAACATGACGGCACACAAGAAATATATTTTCGTGTTCAGTAGAAGCCAGAGTTTGTTTCCTGTGATGTATGGAATAAACACTACTTTCAAAATCAATGTAATAGCAAAGAAATTATTTTACACTTGTTGATTTCAGAGATTGAGTGAGTATGGTTTTATGATGCTTTTAGCAATATTCCAGCAATATCACAGCGATATACACCAGAAATGGCCTTCACATATTGCACCCATGTGGCAAATCAAACCCGGGTCTTCAGCGTGACAAGCGAAAACTTTAACCACTAGGCTACCCCACTGCCCTTGTTGATTTCAAGAGCTGAAAGTAATACTTTACAGTTTGATGTTAATTCATGGGAAAGCAGGTCATTCAAAGTACGCGAGTTTTTGTTGTTGAATGTCCCTATCAGCAATATTAGAGACATATGACAGCAACCTGTAAATATACATTCTGGACCAGACAACCAAGGGATTAATATTGTGAGCGACAATCCACTCCATTAGGGTATGGAGACTTTCAGCTGACCAAGTAGCTAAGCCTGGCCACCTGACACAATTGGTCACCTCTAACGACCATCCTACGATACTGAGTACCTATACCAAAATGGAATTCACACTGCCATTCAAAATATAAAGATTTAAGACCAGACAAACATATCTGATTTTTCCCATTTCTTTCAGATGCCATGGGAATGATGTAGGAAGATTGCACAATTATCAATAAATTTCTAAACTGTAAACATTGAGCAAACCAACTGAGCAGAAAACAATAAACTAATAGAAAAAATATAATCACGAAAACAGAAGTAAAACATATGATCCTGATAAAGGGGAGGATGTTGTTGTCTAACTGTCACACAAATGAACACAAATATCAAACAAGAAAGCAACTCTTTCGGATTCTCAGTGTGTACATGAAATATCAATAAAAATTGGAATGTACAATTAAATATCAATATGGTTAACTTATAAGAGTCACTGATAGCACTTTCACTGGATTTCCCTCTGGTAGAAATGTGTGCACAGATAATAAATAGTCAATTACAATAAGTTCCCTGGCTTTGCAGATGCCATTGTAAACAATCACAGCTCACATGTATGGAATTCCGCACATTTCACTGGAAGATAGACATTATGCATACCTACATCAACAAAGATACAGTACCGGCCATTCACTAGAGTTAATATCGCAGCTACGTGACGTAGGCAATAATCAAGTCTGGACCAGACAATCCAGTGATTGACATTATGAGCCAGGAATCCTGGTATAGTGCCATGCAATCAACCAAGTGACCACCTCATCCATTTAGTCGCCTCTTACAACAAACAGGTCACTCGGGGCTTGAAAAATTCAACAATGCCCCTCCACCTAAGACTGTCTGTATTTCTGGTCAAGTCAAACTAAATATCACACGGAATATTGTTTCTGAATTAGACATGTTACACATAAAATACTCTTGTCTAGGCCAAGACATTTAAACACAAAATACTGTTGTCTAGTTCTTGCAATGAACTGAAATTTGTCCATTCAACCAGTGTTTAAAATTCGCCTGCCCGACCGTCCAGAACGGTCTTTTTTCATCTCGGACGGTCAAATGTCAAAAGTAGCCTGTCCGGTGGTCTGGTAGATATCTTTTTCTCTGATCTTGATTGTGAGGCAGAAAATGCAACAGATTTCTAGTCTGTAAACCAGGCCATGTACCTTAGCCTTAACGTTACCATACATGCAGTAAAGTATTCAGAAACTTGATTATATGTTGGCTTTTTATTGTTGAAAACCTGACAGGCAAGTTTGTATCCGGACTGGTAATTTTTTAAAGTTACCAGTCTGGCTGTCTGGCTTGGAATTTTGGGAGTTTTAAACACTGATTCAACAGTATGTCACATACCACATCGTACATGTGACAGTGTCAGGCCTGTGGATATAATTTGAGAGATAGATTATAGAAGCAGTGAAACTTTGCTATTTCAAAGTTAAGGTGAGGTGAGGTGAAATTTGGTTTAATGTCGTGCTTGAGAAAATTTCGCTCATATAACGACGTGCATGTGTGTGTATGTGTATTTCAAAGTTAAGGACACAAGACCATGATGGTAGTAGCACACACTGCACCATGGGTTAGCGAAAGAACGTGAAGGGTTTTTATGCCATTGAAACACTCTTCTAGTAATACACCATGAATATTCCACCTATAGACATATTTTGGCCATAGAGCCCACATTCAATATTTACCATATAACTGGGTATACACCACTGGAAACAGAGACATCTGTCACAGATACCATAGCCCTAGATATAATATTCTTAGCCAAGGTTAAGGTCAACAGGTCAAAGGTCATGGGCAGTCTCACAACTAAATGTACATATGTGGTTGTATGTAATAGATGACAAGGTTACACTCATAGTCTAAGATTGGTATACAGTGATAATTAGTCAAATTGATTGATTGTTACAACATAAACATAAAATATCTTGTCAAAGACCCACTGTCCACAATCTTAATGCTTCTCAAAATAACCCTGTAATCTGATCAAGTCTTAAGGCTAAGCACTGTAAATTCTCGCTTAATTCTGGAAACTTCATATTTTGAGTATATCATAAGTTCCCTAAACATTGTGCAGTTTGGTGAAAGTAAGCTTACATATATATATATACACAAGGATAATTTTAGGTAAAATACATAGTGACGTTGGACAATAACAGTGAAAGATGTACCATTTTGCTGTACTGCCTCATACATTCTTGGCATCTTTGTGTCTCTGTCATGGTATTACATCTGCATCGTGCCCAATCAAGCACCTTTCTGGTTTGTTTCACAGAAGCATAGAACTACATAAAACAGGCTAGCAGAGAACTGATCAGTAATTGGACAGTCAGTGATAAGCTGAATGTAGGCAGGTGCTTGATTGAGCTGATCAATCATTTGGCAATCAATGATTAGCTGAGTGCAGGCAAGTGCTTGACTGAGCTGATCAATGATTCGGCAATCAATGATTAGCTGAATGTAGGCAGGTGCTTGATTGAGCTGATCAATGATTCGGCAATCAATGATCGGTAGGTGCTTGATTGAGCTGATCAATGATTTGGCAATCAATGATCAGCAGAATGTAGGCAGGTGCTTGATTGAGCTGATCAATGATTTGGCAATCAATGTTCAGCAGAATGCAGACAGGTGCTTGATTGAGCTGATCAATGTTTTGGCAATCAATGATTAGCTGAATGTAGGCAGGTGCTAGAAGGTGCTGATCTCTGACTGCACAATCAATGAGTTGTAGTCCTGGTAGGTACTTGACTGTACCGATCTGAGACGCAGCTGTGGTCATTCAGGTGTGCAGTCAGAAAACTATGTCAGTGGTAACTTCTCCTGCATCTTCACAGCAATAAAAGGGTTGTCATCATCCTGCAACATCAGCATCAAAGGAATATTACATCACTCATAACTCAACTATAATAACACATAACCTGCTTCCTACAACAGACACAGACAAATAACAGAATAACTCACACGAACACATATGTATTCATCAACTGGTTTCACGTCCTCTATTACACAGGGATAATACAACAGTATGTACTTGTATGAAGGCACTCACAGTCTGAGTGTTGATAGCGGTATGAAGAGAATAGCACTTCCTTTCATCTTGGCCTGTATGAATTTCTAAAATGACTCCTACTATGACCTAGTCATATGGCTACAAATGTTTCACATACCAACTTTCTTCATGAATACAGAGACTTCTCACATTACAATTTAACATGTCAAAGCAAAACTGCATTATTTCTACACTTAAGTTCTGTTCATGGTTTGAACCAAATAGTTTGAAATAATTTCATAGTGAATGGTCCATATGTGCCTATTTTCAGGAAAATGAGAAAAAGAGTAAATAGAAACCCTGGACCCACAACACGTAACAACATTTTGGATGATCCATTCCAATATTATCAATAACAGAGAGCCATGAGGCTCTGCAGCTCACCTGAATATATCCTGCATTGTAAAATTTGTAATGACTCAGGCAGAAAAGCCTGATATGGGTATAAGTTACAGTTACAATATGGTGGAAACTGTGGCCATGTTTGAAATTGATTGGAAATAACAGCACCAATTCTTGGTCCGTGTCAACGGCAATGGAGAACACACCATAGCATATGCCCATCACTCAGTAGAAGCGAGCTAATGACACAAGTTACAGGAAATTAATGAAAGCATGAAACTATCCAGGTGGTCAACAGAGCAACAACAGAAATTGATATGAAAACCTCCACCAACATAAACAAATGCTATCGCCTGGCATGGTAGAGATGGAGCTAATACAGGGTCTGTTATCCTAAAATCAATACAAATATTTTTCTATTCATGAAACAGGTTTCATAAATTGCTAATAGCTGCATCAAATTCACACAAGCGTTCTCAAATTTCTCATAATATATCTGAAAATGATTATTCCTTTTTGTTGATTCTTAAATTAAATCTTTACCATCATTTCCTCACAAACTTCAATATAAATATTTAATTAAAAGCCAAAAAATGGACTGAGTAAAATATGTCAAGACACACCTGAGAAACGTCTAATCGACTCAGTTAATTGCTGGTATTACACCTCTATGAATACCAGTAAATAAAACATCTTTTAAAAGATTGATTTATACTTTGCTAATTACAAATCTAACACAAAGACATAAACAAGTTCTTTTCAAAATCTAATTAAATTTTTTCCAAGGTTTCCAAAGGCTACATTCCTGACATAATGGCGGACAGCACAGGTTTTACATCTGTAGAAAGCTGAGAATGTACCTCTCCGGGCAGTGTTTGGGTGATGGGGAGGTCTACCAACTACTTACAGCAAAGTCATCGTCTGAAACCTGAGTAATGTGTTCACATTAAGTTAAGTATGGAGGCCACCTCATGCAGAAATTCTGCTTGAGGGCAGACTGATTGGCATCTGTATCTGAACTGTAGAAGGTTCAGTGAGATTGATACCACACAGTATAAACACTGGGAATGGTTAATGAGCATGAATTAATCCATATACTTGAAAACAGTTGGGTACATGAAGCACATACAAAACAAACAACACACTCATTACAAGGTGGGATAAATACACAATGCCATTAAAAAGTGGTAAAATGTAACATATGTTATTTTTGGGATTACACTTTCTCAGTAAAGTACAGATTCTAGTACTTTTGTTGGGTTGAGTCCAATCCGGGATTTGAACCCACACTCCCAGAGTCAGGCATCCAGAAAGGACTAAACCTAACAAAACTACTAGAATCTGTACTTTACTGAGGAAGTGTAATCCCAAATACTGTAAACGTATTATATTTCGAGTAGGTTTTATTTTCGCGTTTTTCGCGCAAAACATTTTAGCGCGAAAATTTATACACCGCGAATAAACCTGTCATTCATTCAGTCTAGCCACGCTTCGCCCTGAGTTGTTACCATAACACATCACGTTTGAAGACAGAAATCAACGGAATCTTAAAATGACGACTGATCATACTTAACTGTCGCTGTAATGGATTTCCCAAAACATAATTAAATAATGAGCCAAATCCCATTGCCAAATTAGCTTAAAACAGCAATGTGTGTTGTGGCCGCCATTGAAATTGGTCACATGACATGGTTTGATACAAAACAGATTACCGCGGAAACGACTCGGAAAGAAATAATACAGCAGTATTTTATTTATTCATTAAGATTTTATTCACCAGTACATCATGAAGCTTAATAGTCACTAACACTCAATCATCTCATTCACAACAACCCGCTTGTTTGAAATCACAAAGAGCTTCATATACAGTATAAGTTAATTCACAAATCGCCAGAATTCGAACATAAGACTGATGTGTTTTTCATCTCTTCCGGGAGTAAACGGATTACTGTGTACTAGTATATCGCACAGATAGGGATTTCCTGTGAGTAAGCAATAAACGCCGCCTGACAGGTTAAGCCACTCTGTTTGTTTTCACTGCTATTAGTGGCGGCCAAAGAGACAGCTGGCAGTTCCGGCAATTACTTATTGCGCGAATAATTGACCGCACGATGTAGTCTAAACTGTCAATTCCGCAAAAATTGCACCACGCGAAAATAAGTACGTTTACAGTATAACATACGTTACTCAAGATGAGATAACATTAAAAGAAATGCTGACAATACTTGACTACATTTGTTGTAGCTATACAAGTAATGAATTTCACCCTAACAGTACTTATTCAGCAGTGTAGCAGTGAGGTTAGCAATGTAGTAATATTACACGTATATCACAAAAACCTTTGAACAATCCAGTTTGGGCCATTGCTAACTTGACAGAAGAGCAAATATCATGACCAGAAACAACTCAAAGGCACTGAATCTGCCAGGGTCCTGTTGCACAAAGCAATCTTAGCACTAAGGTGATTGTAACTCCTATACTTTAACAAAGTCGTAAGGCTATGATCACTTTGAAAAGCAGGGCCCAGTTTCACAAAGCTCTCGTAGGCCTAAGATCTCGTAACTTTTTTCGTAGCATTCGTACTTCCTATGTCCCTGTTTCACGAAGCTCACATAGGCCTAAGACCTTGTAACTTTTCTTGTAGCATTCGTACTTCCTATGTTACAGTATAGGACATACGAATGCTACGAGAAAAGTTACGAGATCTTAGGCCTACAAGAGCTTTGTGGAACGGGGCCCAGGGCCCTGGTCACCCATTCTCTGCAACTCTATCAACAAGTATAGTGTGAAGGGACCTTGCTTCACCTGTAATCCACACTGAGGGCAGTATCACTGGGCCAACAAACAACTTATGATCAACATTGATGGTCACATATCCTAAAGTTAGACAGCCATATTCAGCTGATATCCTTTTAACTATACTTTGATGCTGGGTCCAAAGCCATATGTTTGTCCTAAGAGCTCACTAATGACGATCAGTTGGTCACGTGTGACAAGGCTGACTGTGTTATTGTGCTCTCATGGCACTGTTCAGCAATCAGTGAATCACTGAGTTTTGCCTAGCCAAGGTTCAACTGTTTGTACTGCCATAACAGAGATGGAATACTCACTCTTGTAACCTCATAGAGACAAAGCAGTTACATCCCTTTCCATAAGTTAAACAACACACTGTCAAACTGTCATCAGCTGATCCCAATAGAAACTTCTAGATAGCAGACAAAAAGTACAAAATCTGGAGACATTTTACTACCATAGCCTCTATTTTCTCTTCTTTTACACAAAAGGTGAACACGCTCTTGTTACAGCATGAGAGAATAGTGAACAGTATTTCAACTCTAACTAGGCTGATAATCAGAGCAACTCTGGGTTTAAAGTCAGCTCAATTTGGGAGACACCCAGTGACTCACCTTGCCACCACTGGTAATCTTGTTCTTGATTTTCTGGAATATGCTGGTGTTCTTGTCAGGGAAGTGGACAGCTTCCTCGTCATCTTCCTCTAGCCCGCACGACTCTACCCCCGGCAGTTCCCCATCACGCCCTCCAGCCGTCTCCACAAGCTTCATGTACTTGTATTCCAGTCTGAGGAGGAACACACAACATGGGGTCACTCAGGTCCTGACAACTCAAAAATAAGACTAAGGCATGTCCAATACAGCTCTTATCAGGGAAAGACAACATAGGCTTACTCAGGTCCTCCACTATGGAACATAAGCATTGCTATGAGAAACCCCTGGCAATTTTTCGGCAGATTATGTTCATCCTATCTTGTTAAACTGATGATGACAACATCATGACACCATGTGGAAGATGTTACCTCTTGTTCCTCTTCCACAGGTAGACGAGCAGCAGCATCAACAACACTCCAACACCAATAACAACTGGTAGCGCCACCTGGACCTGTCAACACATCGGCATGGTAACATGTATCACATTGTCACGGTAATACAAACAACACTGGCTTGTAACATGAATTATTAGCAATATTCCAGCAATATCACACATTGTACCCATGTGGGTAAGTGAACCCAGGTCTTCAGCATGACAAGCGGATGCTTTAACCACTAGGCTACCCCACTACCCATTATGGTAACATGAACCATAATGGCATGGTAACATGAATCATATAAGCATGGTAACATTCACTACATCCATACAGAAACTACAACCACATCATCATGGTAAGAAAACAGATGGTGATGTGAAGAACTTGTGGCAACAGTTTTATCAACAATGCTGCAAAGTTCTAGCAATTTTCAAATGTAGATGAAATAAGATGTTCCTTAGTGATCAGTGACATGACATTTTCATCAAATGGAGGGAAGATTCACTCCGAGACATAGTTTAAAGTACACTATACAAAACACATGCCAGGCATGTTCCTGAACTCTAACTTGGCATGGTGTACTTGTACAGGACCCTTCCCAGATGCAGCATCAGAAATGTGGCTCATTTGGTTTTGTTTTCAATGCCTTATTTCACTGTATATATGCGTCAATCTGAGTTTGACCTGATGATGAGCAGATCTTGTCACACCTAAGAGAGACAACTCTACTGAGGTAAATAAAGCATCTTTGACGATACTAACATTTCATAACTCAGAGGTTTACAATCTATCATTCATATAGTCACAGCAAGCAGCCTGGTAGTAGCACATAAGAGATTTAATAGACATATCATTGATATACTCATGACAAATAGGATGCTGCACAGAGGGATTCAGATATATCATTGATATACTCATGACAAATAAGATGCTGCACACAAGGGATTCAGATATATCAGTGATATACTCATGACAAATAGGATGCTGCACACAAGGGATTCAGATATATCAGTGATATACTCACGGCAAATGGCATGGTTGTACATTTCTGCTTCATCTGTTTGGGCTTGTGGGATTCACTCAGCAGGCAATGTCTGCACATAACAGAGTTTATCTCAGAACAGCTCATTGTTGACTTTCAAACTGGATCACTTACGCAAATATATGACTACTTCTATCTTTTCAAGGTCTTGTATTTCAGGTGATCTGACACCCATTAGAATGGATTTTTTCCGATTCAATAATACTCTACATAAGCTGTTCCACTGATAATTAGCAGCACAAATAACTTTCATTCAAACACCTAAACAACATTTCCATGTATAGTTCCGTCTCCTATTCTCGCGGTAAACACCACTGAGATCTCTGATGCGTAACACTTAGAGATTGTTTACATCAACGACCGGTAACTAGGAAGTGGCCCAAGTCTGCAAGTGATCAAAATCTTGCAATGTCACGACTATTGGTGAGTTTATAAGCTTATACCAACTTGGACATATAATAACTTTTTCCTGCCCTTTCACACTCCATAATGTGACTTCATCGTTATACCGAGTGAATAGGAGAAAACTCATTTTGTAAATGGCAGATGGCATTGTTTATCACAAGTGGTAATTCACCTGATGGATCTAGCAGCTGATAGATGCACATGTTAGAGGAGAAGGCCCTTCATTTAAAAACAACAAACATTCATACGATAAGAACGGTTTGTGTTATTTTTTCAGCCGATATCCGTAAGTACCGCAAGAATAGGAAACGCCTTCCAACATACAGTAGACTGTTCACATCATGAAACATGGACTGACCTGAGATTCCAAAATGAATAAACTTGGAACCAAATGGGGAAAAAATATTTTGTTCTGAACTGGGATATAAAAACAGCTGATTTTCTTAAACATTGTAACATTACATTCAAAGCACTAAGGTAAAAGTCAACATTAAAACCTCTTCTTCTACATTGGTGTGATGATCAGTGAAAAAAGCATAACATAATGAGGAATGTTTTCACTGACATTTGTTGCAGATGGGACTGATTAGGTCAAGATAATCCCTCATCGTATATATTTCTAGCAGAATACTTACTTTGGAGGGTAGTAATGTATGGTCTGTTCCCCCCGAATACATTCTCCATTGATCACTTCAGTAGTCTTCGTCCCGACAGATGGGGCAAGCATGCTGACTCTTCCACACGAAGTGGAAGGTGCAGCCATCGCAGGTGCCATCGGAACATTTGGGGGGCAGGTCGATGACGCCTTGCAGGTCCTGCTTCACGTCACATCTCAGACTGATGATGGTGGTGCGGCCCTCGGGGCAGGCTGGGGTTGACCTGGCAACAATGGAGACAATCAGAGTCTGCCTGATCTCTCTTTTACATGCATATCACAGCAACAAGAGCACCGGACAAGAGGATTTGTTTTACTTTGATGCTCAAAGAAGCATTCAGTAATATTCCAGCTATACTAATAGAAAAGTTAAGGCGAAGCTGATTGTGTCACATTGCTATGAGACCCATGAAGATCGGGGTTAGAATTGGTCTTCAGCAATCCATTACTTTCACAAGAGAGCACCAACAGGATCGGGTAGTCAGGCTTGCAACTTGGTTGACACATGTCACCTTATCCCTATTGTACAGATCAATGCTCATGCTGTTGATTACTGGACTGTCTGGTCCAGACTTGATTATTGACAGGCCACCACCATATAGATGGAACATTGCCGAGTGCAGCCTTAAACACCAAACAAACAATGTGTCATGACACATCCAAATAGGAATAAGCACGAATTGGTCTTCTTTCTTGAGCAGGCTATGATGGTGGCCTGTAAATAATCATATCTGGATGACACATTTTAGTGACTGATATCTTTACCCATCTGGGTACAAGGAAACTCAACAATTCACCAAGCTCCATGCATTTAGTCAGCATGTACAAACAGCACAGATTGCTGGTGACTGGAATCCCTACACAAGGACAGTGAGATTGAATCAGTTCAAAACAGGGTTCAACAAGAATTGGCTTCATAAATGTTCTGTGGGCAATCATATCAAATCTTGTGTTCATGCTCTAGTCTAGGCATGAAGAATAAAGCTTTAACACTAAGTTGTCGAGGCATGAAGAATAAAGCTTTAACACTAAGTTGCCCTGTTTTGCTCTAGTCCAGGAGCTGCTTGTACAGAGCAGTCTTAGCGCTAAGACTTTCTTAAGTTTATGCTAGAGTATGGGAGCTATGATAATCATAGCGCTAAGATCACTCTGATCAAGTTTGCCCAGATCAGAATAACCACCTCACATCAAACATCATTTCAACTAATTATCATTTCTAATCTACTTACTGTTCAGACTTGTAATGAAAATGAATATCCCTTTCTAAATCTGAAAAATAAGCAAGAAAATGAATGAATCAATGAACATATTTTTTACGACAAAAAATTTATCAGTTTCTGGCTATGCACAAAATAGCCTAATATCTTGTCCCCTCAGTTTCCTCACCATATCTACCAGTTTGTTTGATTTATAGTCTTATTCTTAAAAGTTGTCATTTCATAAAACAACATGCTTTGACTTCTGGCCACAAACCTGATGCTTAAATCTAGCAAAATGTCTTTCCATTTACTTACACCACATTTCAACACTAAAACCTACAGGAAATGATGAAAAAGATGAATTGTGTCAAGTTGACACTGACCTTCAGGTGATGCAGGGAAACCCTCCTCCTTGAAGAGGTCTGCCATGCTGCTGTCGTTAGACACAATCTTCACCAGGTGGTCCCCGAGACTGAAACCATGACAGTGAGGGCCATCATCAACAGCTCACAGCCAGAACAGGAAACGCGTCCATGTGATGGAAGCATGCTCAAGCATGGATCTCTTACAAGGGCTCAATTAAAAGAAATTAAACCTACTTGCACCCAGTGCAACCTTATGTAATAGCCTTGTTGCACCAAACAAAAAAAGGTTGCACATGCTACTCAGAATCAAACTCAAAGAATGACATAATTTTTCATTAGCTCATGCTCAAAACATAAAACAAATTAACAGGAAACAGTAAATGTATCTTTCAGAATGAACATATCTACTATGTTTATTTCCTTTTGTCATCATTTGGCAAAATGTTTAACAACTTGTACAGTACACAAAAGGATTGTATCGGAAAGGTCAACACAATGTTTGTCAGTCTCCCACCGAGGACCATGTCGTCAACCCCAACTCACCTAACTGGCTGGGTGGAGACAACAGGAGCATCTGTGTCCCTCTGGGGAACCAGGGTGGACCGACAAACCATGCCCTTAACATCAGTCGGCAGTCCATAGCTCTGAAACCACAGCATCACAGAGTTAAAACACTACAGATGATCACGTCCAGGTTGAAACTGGCAGCCGAGATGAACCATGCATGTTCTCTCATTGTTTTGTATTTTTAACACTGCAAACTTCAGAAAATTTCTCCATCAGCAGAAGTTGAATCATGAACAAATTACTACACAGTACCAGGTGCATACCAGACTGTACAATGCATGTGAATACAATACACTACAGGTTTTTCTCTTGTTCTCAATTGTTTTTGTGGATATGTTGACCAAAAATACTTAAAAAATTGAGAAAAAAAACCTAGACAAGTGTTTTAATATTACATCACTGCCAACCTGAATAAAGATATAAAAGAATAAAAAAATATATTCTAGAATCTTACAATGACTCCTTGTATTTTAAAAGTCAGTTATAAGTAATATGTACAGTACAGGGAGAATAGCGATTTGTTGTAATCACAGACACGTGTTCCACCACAAGCCCACATAAACAGATTTCTTGGTGGAAAATTCCACAAAGCAACTAAAAACATGATATCATGTCGGTTTTACTCTTTACCATCCACACCCACACCCAATTCTGAATTTGGGAGGTGTTTCTGCGTTATTACTTCGATATATGGAACAATTAAATCTTTTACTGTAAACCCTGTGATTATTTCAAAATCCCCTTGACTTTCCTTTATATTTTAAACATATAGGTGACTAAGCATGTTTAACCACATTGAACAGTATCTAAGTTATGAAGCAGCTTATCAGCTTAAGTTGGGAAGCAGGTGGCAGGCTGTAGACTAGTATGATGCTTAAAACAAGGTTAATAATCAGCATCTTGAGTCACAAAGCTATCGTAGCTCTACAACAAACCTAAAACCTTTACTTTAACTCCGACTTACTAGTGTTACAGCACTGTGATCATCTTGTTTAACAGAGCCTGGGGTTTACAATGGGAAAGCATGGCCAGGTTACCAATACTGGCAGCATATAACAGTATGTGGAAAGGAAGGTAACAGACAAAAAGAACAAAAGCAATCAGTTATAGTTAGGGGTGGGTATTGCAGAGCTTTTTCATATTCCGATTTATTGCGATGCGAAAGCATATATTGCGATATGTATTGCAATATATTGCAAGAAGTTTTTTTTAACTAAAACTAATTATCATCGAGTTAATGCTTGATTTATAAAGCAAAAAGACATCAAAATCACTGTGCTTGATTAAGCTTTAATAAAACCTTTTAATCATGACAAAATAAACAGGTAAATAACATTTGGTACAAATGAAACAAGGAAATATCAGAAGATTTCCGAGTGTTACGAAGTTTCCGAATGCAAGTTAAAATACCGGTTTTTGATTAGTGTATCGCAATACATATCGTTTTCATGTCTGAACCGGTAAATACCGGTAAACCGGTTATATTTCGCAGCCCTAGTTATAGTAAAATTGAGTCTCTGAATCCCAAATGCTTGTCAGTTGAACATCTCAAATATGACAGGTGTGTTTTGATAAGGACAACTTTATGGATGTTCTTTATTTGGGTGATGCGACGTTTCGATACAGATTGTTTTTTCGTAGTGAAGCAGGTATGACATACTTGCTTGTCAATGATAGAAGAATCTGTATCGAAATGCTGCATCACCCAAATAAAGAAGTTGGTCCTCCATAAAGTTTGTCCTTATCTGATTCACGAACTTCTAAACATGCCACTCAAAGAAGGTAGTTTTTGGTTTCGTACTAGCAACTAAACTGGTCTTCCTTATTACCTGCAGAATCTCATCTCAAGTCACATGTCCTCATCATGATGAATATTCCTAACGACAACAGCCAATGTGTCCTTTCCTGTACACTGCTCTTAGCATAATTTTTAGTATATTTTAGTGATATCACATGCACTTTTATTAGCTGAGCTTACTAGACCAAAACTATACCACATTCAGGTGTAGTGACAAGTCACAGTCAGTAAAAGCTTACTTTCATATATATATATATATATATATACACACACACACAAGTGAGTGAGTGAGTTTTAAGCCATTTTTAGCAATATTTCAGGGAGTGATTTTAATTTTATACTGCTTTTAGCAATATTCCAGCAATATCACAGTGGGGACACCAGAAATGGGCTTCACACATTCTACCCATGTGGGGAATCGAACCAGGGTCTTTGGCATGATGAGCAAATACTTTAACCACTACGCTATCCCACCGCCCTCCACAGGTCAAAGACTGGGATATAGGTCAACATTGGGCTAAAAAACAACAACCGAGTTACAATTTTGAACCTATATCTGTCAATTTAAACTGGCTATTGTAACGAATGCATCGTAATGCATGATAACACATGATCCAGCTACCACTACCTGTGTTGATGGCAACTGTTCCACACACAAGGAGGCCATGTTTAAGAGACTCCATACAACGTGCAGAAAAACAACAACAATGGTTTGGTGAATAGAAAGGGTGTGAAGATATCAAAATATGACCAAAAGAGATTTAATGAAACAATTTTTAGAATACATCAACCCTGGCCAAAAGACAGTACCCAAAATAAAGCAAAAGTTTTTTTCCATGTAGTTTGACAAAAAAATCAACGGAAGAAGGTTGGACACAGAAAAAGTGTCAAAGGGATTTAACAACAGAATAAGGATACATTTTACTGTACATTCAGTGGGGAACATTCAAGAGAAAATATATACATTTGAATACAAGAACTAATGAAACAACACAATGCTTTGTTGAGCATCTGTTGTGAAAGTACCCAAATACCATATACATCATGCAGTGAAGATAGCTGAAGATATGCCAGCAACTACCCACAGCTCCATCAAATAGAGCAGATAGCAATAAGGTAGAATTTAACATACTCCACCACGGCTCAAAATTTCTATGTCTTCAGATTTCTTGACCTGTGGGTTTAAATTCGTCAATATTTAAAAACACCTTACATGTGTCCCTCAAATGGTTTTGTCAGTATTTACAAGCAGCTTACATGTGTCCTTTACTAAATATTTTAGCAATATTTAACAGCAACTTCTCGTCAAAATACTACAGCAACTTACAAGTGACCCTCAATAAAATCTTCGTCAATATTGGAAAGCACCTTACATTTGTCCCAGAGTAAACATTTACTAAGTACTTACCGGTAAAAGTGAATGAGTGTGTGAGTTAAGTTGTATGCCATTTTTAGCAATATTCCAGCAATATCACAGCAGGGGACACCAGACAGTACTTAAAAGCTATGAGTTACTTAACATGATTAGACTGACAGTAGTTACAGATTTTCAAAACCATTTGTGTAATCATCATATCACACATTACCCAAAATCAAATCAAGACTACACAAACATCAAAATACAACAGTGTTATGAAATCTCTATTTCTTTATGCTTACTGTGTCGTGTTATGCACAATCACAACAATAGACTCTTGGAATGGTATTTTGAAGTGATACCCATAAAAGGGGATGGTGAAACTTTATGGATGTTCACCTGATGAAGGAGCAAGGGTACATTGTGTTCCTCATGTTACAGAAGATGACATCCTTCAAATTTTAATCGTTCAAATACCACATGAGACTCAACCTACAAATGTTCTAGAATCTGTCTAACTGAGAAAGTGTAATCTCAAATATAATGTAACATTTAACCACCTTCTACATGGCACTTTCCTAATGTTTGCAATTTGATATTTCCTGGTAATTACAGGTACCCAAAATGACAATATCTCCAAACACAAACACCCACGCCACCTGCTACCATATCCGTCATACATACAACCCTGGCAGCCCATCACGTTATCTATACCAACACAGACCTCCATGTCTTACACCATGCTATTGCACGACGTTGGACACTAATTCATAGTTTCCCAGATATATGCTCAAGAAAACATGAAAATGCGCTGCTATTGATTTCCTAACAGGTTGTAGGGTATATCTGGCAATGACATCTATAAATTGCAAACATAATGTCCGTTGTAGGATACTAATCATGCAGCAACAATTCAAACATTTTATAATGTTAACAGTGCTTCACAAACATCACACACGGTGCAACACATCGGACATAAGATAAACATGCACAAACCAGGACAAATTTGCCACACAGATAAGGTCTGGTAACTATGGGAAGTTCTACATCACAGAATAGTGACACCACTACATATTCCTATGAATCAACGCACTTCATAGATTCATGGTTTAATAGTTTAATACATTCTTTTTGAACTGTCATTCAACACTTAAAAGGTTTCAAAGTTTGATTTTCAAATGAACTTTCAATCGCCAGCTTGTATGTTATCTTGATAAAGAAAAGATTTGAGTTATTGTGCTCACCGGCTGATCGGTGACGTTGTTGTAGCAGGTTGGGAGTTGTGTAACCTTGTTACCACACAGGCTGATGTTGAAGCCATGGTAGTACTGGGTGCCGCTGGACGTAAACAACTTGTTGCCAACCACAAACTGGATGCTGGCAACAAACACAGAATAAATAAATCACTATCTGCTAACACAATCAGTATATGTTAATCATCTTCAAAGCTTGAAGATCAGAAGAAAGGCAAAAACTAAGAGATCATATGTATTTATGATGAGTGAGTGAGTGAGTTTAGTTTTACACCACACTGGAGAGAACTTAACTATAAGCAAGTGTGTAAACCCAACAGATCTTTTTCAGTCTTTTAACACTTTTCAACCTGAATTTGGTATTAAATTTGTACATAACATGTAAAAAGAACAAAGTCTCATTTTCTTAAATTCAGCAGATACCATCAATCATCATAATTATTGGGAGTTTCTGTATGTCGTAAATAGAGGTGAGGTGAGGTGAAATTGGGTTTAACGTCGTACTTGAGAATATTTCGCTCATATGACGACGTGCATGCGTGTGTATGTGTATGTGCGTCTGCTTGTACTAGCCCAGACTTAAGCTGGTTTTATAGTGCTAGCCCACTGAGATACCATGCCGCAGTGAAGCATGAATACCCCCCTCAGACACATTATACTGACTCCGAGCCGACCAGTCCTTGTTGTACCCATTAATGCTGAGCGCCAGGCAGGGACCAACAAGTACCATATTTTAACGTCTTTTGGTATGACGCGGTCGGGGTCGTAAATAGAGATGATCTGGTTGGCCAAAGAGGTGCCTCATCACACCTTGTAGCAAAATGTTAAACATCTTTTAGTACAGAAATACAGTAATCATTCGCTGACACATATCATGAACTGATATCCCAAAGGCAAAACCTACGTGTCAAGGTCGGAGAAGTCGTACACCTTGCCATCTTTTGCCGTAAACTTGCAGTCGGTTTTACACACTTTGCCTCCCTCAGCTTTCAGGCCTGACCCACACACCTTGCAGGCCTGCTTCCCCCAGGCATCGCTGCTGGACACCACAGTGTTGGGGGGCATGCCTTGCAGGACGTTGTGCTTGTGTCGATGTACTGCCCATCGGGGCATGGAATACACCTGGAACACAATCATATATTATGAGTGAGTGTGTATGGTTTTACACTATTTTTAGCAATATGCCAGCAATATCACCGCGAGGGACACCAGAAATGGGCTTCACACATTGTAGCATTGATTATGAATAGAGTAGCCCACCTTTCATACGATACAGCATCCTATACTGTTTTCCCAAATCAGTATGATAAAGTAAGGTTATGAGTCAGTGAACAGAAATGGAACAGTAACAGTCATAACATGGGAGTCAGGTAACTTTAAGAGGGAAGTCATGTTATTTGTCAGATATTTACTGCAGGCCATATTCAGGGTGTGTGTGACTATATGGGATTTGAACCTAAACTCACAGGATTCTGGCATGCCAAAGGGAAGCAACTGCATATTCCAACACCACATATGAATAGGCAAACTGTTCCTTTCATCAGAAAGATATCATGTCACAAACAGTACTTGAACGCCACCAAACAACACTGGTGTTACTTTAAGGATTTCTTTCACTGTTGAAATCATAAAAGACTGAGTGCAGAAATAGGGACTATAGATTTAATATTGTCAAACACAAAAAAAACAACATCATTCACAAACTTATTCCAATCCTGAAAAGAAGAAGTATGATGTATCCAAGACCTACGTGTTTTTGGCTGTTCCTCTTGGACAAGGTTTGCACTCGGAAGCGCCACCAGAGACAGTGTTTGTGACCTTGATGGAGTATATCTTGGCGATGTTGTTGAGGTACTCCTCGGGCTTGGCTTCGGGCAGGTTCTCCCAGTCATATGGCTGGAAGGCCCAGGTGGCTATCAGAGACCTGTTGCTGCGCACATTGTACCTGGAACAACCACACATAACTCACTTCAGTCCCGGTAGAATGCCATGTGCCTTAAAAAAAAATTCCTATTGTTGACATGTACCTTAACCTTGCTGTTGGTGGTGTGAATGTTCACATTCACAAAACTTAGAAATCTTCATATTGTATGTGTGTGTTGAAAGACAGTTGATATACACAAAGTAGCTTTAGAAATTCTGGATTTATGCAAGCATGCCAGAAATATGACTCACACAAGAGTCTCAGAAATAAGAATTGTGTATGTGTGTGTGCGTGCGCGCGTGCGTCGCGTCGAGCGTGTGTGTGTTTGTTTAATTGTAATGGATGCAAAATATTATACTTACACATATTCATTATTTTCATAACTTCCCTTCCATGATTTTGCTACTGAATTCTTCCCATTATCATCCTGAAATAGATAATAAATGTTAACAATGGTTAAAAAACAACAAGATAACTTCAAGATAGTATTTTGAGCTTCAGCAACTTTTACATTTTACAATTTACATGCTTCAAAGTAATTCAGACTGTACCTCTGTATCCCTTCACAAAGCAGCCTCAACACCTTGAACCCCTGGTTGCTATTGTACAAAGCGATCTTAGGAGTAAGATCATTGACCCCTGGTAACTATTTTACAAAGCAATCTTAGTGATAAGATCATTGACCCCTGGTTGCTATTGTACAAAGCGATCTTAGTGCTAAGATCATTGACCCCTGGTTGCTATTGTACAAAGTGATCTTAGTGCTAAGATCATTAACCCCTGGTTGCTATTTTACAAAGCAATCTTAGTGATAAGATCATTGACCCCTGGTTGCTATTTTACAAAGCAATCTTAGTGCTAAGATCATTGACCCCTGGTAACTATTTTACAAAGCAATCTTAGTGCTAAGATCATTGACCCCTGGTTGCTATTGTACAAAGCGATCTTAGTGCTAAGATCATTGACCCCTGGTTGCTATTGTACAAAGCGATCTTAGTCCTAAGATCATTGACCCCTGGTTGCTATTTTACAAAGCAATCTTAGTCCTAAGATCATTGACCCCTGGTTGCTATTTTACAAAGCGATCTTAGTCCTAAGATCATTGACCCCTGGTTGCTATTTTACAAAGCGATCTTAGTGCTAAGATCATTGACCCCTGGTTGCTATTTTACAAAGCGATCTTAGTGCTAAGATCATTGACCCCTGGTAACTATTGTACAAAGTGATCTTAGTGATAAGATCATTGACCCCCTTGTTGCAATTGTACAAAGTGATCTTAGTGCTAAGATCATTGACCCCTGGTTGCTATTGTACAAAGTGATCTTAGTGCTAAGATCATTGACCCCTGGTTGCTATTGTACAAAGTGATCTTAGTGCTAAGATCATTGACCCCTGGTTGCTATTGTACAAAGCGATCTTAGTGCTAAGATCATTGACCCCTGGTTGCTATTGTACAAAGTGATCTTAGTGCTAAGATCATTAACCCCTGGTTGCTATTGTACAAAGCAATCTTAGTGCTAAGATCATTGACCCCTGGTTGCTATTGTACAAAGCGATCTTAGTGCTAAGATCATTGACCCCTGGTTGCTATTTTACAAAGCGATCTTAGTGATAAGATCATTGACCCCTGGTTGCTATTTTACAAAGCGATCTTAGTGCTAAGATCATTAACCCCCGGTTGCTATTGTACAAAGTGATCTTAGTGCTAAGATCATTGACCCCCAGGTTGCAATTGTACAAAGTGATCTTAGTGATAAGATCATTGACCCCTGGTTGCTATTTTACAAAGCGATCTTAGTGCTAAGATCATTGACCCCTGGTTGCTATTGTACAAAGCGATCTTAGTGCTAAGATCATTGACCCCTGGTTGCTATTTTACAAAGCGATCTTAGTGATAAGATCATTGACCCCTGGTTGCTATTTTACAAAGCAATCTTAGTGATAAGATCATTGACCCCTGGTTGCTATTGTACAAAGCGATCTTAGTGATAAGATCATTGACCCTGGTTGCTATTGTACAAAGTGATCTTAGTGCTAAGATCATTGACCCCTGGTTGCTATTTTACAAAGCAATCTTAGTGCTAAGATCATTGACCCCTGGTTGCTATTGTACAAAGCGATCTTAGTGCTAAGATCATTGACCCCTGGTTGCTATTTTACAAAGCAATCTTAGTGATAAGATCATTGACCCTGGTTGCTATTGTGATCTTAGTGCTAAGATCATTGACCCCTGGTTGCTATTGTACAAAGTGATCTTAGTGCTAAGATCATTGACCCCTGGTTGCTATTGTACAAAGTGATCTTAGTGCTAAGATCATTGACCCCTGGTTGCTATTTTACAAAGCAATCTTAGTGATAAGATCATTGACCCCTGTTTGCTATTGTACAAAGTGATCTTAGTGCTAAGATCATTAACCCCTGGTTGCTATTGTACAAAAGCGATCTTAGTGCTAAGATCATTAACCCCTGGTTGCTATTGTACAAAGCGATCTTAGTGCTAAGATCATTGACCCATTGGTTGCTATTGTACAAAGTGATCTTAGTGCTAAGATCATTAACCCCTGGTTGCTATTGTACAAAGTGATCTTAGTGCTAAGATCATTGACCCCTGGTTGCTATTGTACAAAGTGATCTTAGTGCTAAGATCATTAACCCCTGGTTGCTATTGTACAAAACGATCTTAGTGCTAAGATCATTAACCCCTGGTTGCTATTGTACAAAGCGATCTTAGTGCTAAGGTGATTGATCCCCGGTTGCTATTGTACAAAGTGATCTTAGTGCTAAGGTGATTGATCCCCGGTTGCTATTGTACAAAGTGATCTTAGTGCTAAGATCATTGACCCCTGGTTGCTATTGTACAAAGCAATCTTAGTGCTAAGATCATTAACCCCTGGTTGCTATTGTACAAAGCGATCTTAGTGCTAAGGTGATTGATCCCCGGTTGCTATTGTACAAAGTGATCTTAGTGCTAAGGTCATTGACCCCTGGTTGCTATTGTACAAAGCGATCTTAGTGCTAAGATCATTGACCCCTGGTTGCTATTGTACAAAGTGATCTTAGTGATAAGATCATTGACCCCCTGGTTGCTATTGTACAAAGCAATCTTAGTGATAAGATCATTGACCCCTGGTTGCTATTGTACAAAGTGATCTTAGTGCTAAGATCATTGACCCCTGTTTACAATTGTACAAAGTGATCTGAGGGCTAAGATTATTGACCCCCTGGTTGCAATTGTACAAAGTGATCTTAGTGATAAGATCATTGACCCCTGGTTGCTATTGTACAAAGTGATCTTAGTGCTAAGATCATTGACCCCCTGGTTGCTATTGTACAAAGTGATCTTAGTGATAAGATCATTGACCCCTGGTTGCTATTGTACAAAGTGATCTTAGTGATAAGATCATTGACCCCTGGTTGCTATTGTACAAAGTGATCTTAGTGATAAGATCATTGACCCCCTGGTTGCTATTGTACAAAGCAATCTTAGTGATAAGATCATTGACCCCTGGTTTGCTATTGTACAAAGTGATCTTAGGGCTAAGATCATTGACCCCCTGGTTGCAATTGTACAAAGTGATCTTAGTGATAAGATCATTGACCCCTGGTTGCTATTGTACAAAGTGATCTTAGTGCTAAGATCATTGACCCCCTGGCTGCTATTGTACAAAGTGATCTTAGTGATAAGATCATTGACCCCTGGTTGCTATTTTACAAAGCAATCTTAGTGATAAGATCATTGACCCCCTGGCTGCTATTGTACAAAGTGATCTTAGTGCTAAGATCATCGACCCCTGGTTGCTATTGTACAAAGTGATCTTAGTGCTAAGATCATTGACCCCCTGGCTGCTATTGTACAAAGTGATCTTAGTGCTAAGATCATTGACCCCTGGTTGCTATTGTACAAAGCAATCTTAGTGCTAAGATCACTGACCCCCTGGCTGCTATTGTACAAAGTGATCTTAGTGCTAAGATCATTGACCCCCTGGTTGCTATTTTACAAAGCAATCTTAGTGATAAGATCATTGACCCCTGGTTGCTATTGTACAAAGCGATCTTAGTGCTAAGATCATTGACCCCTGGTTGCTATTGTACAAAGTGATCTTAGTGATAAGATCATTGACCCCTGGTTGCTATTGTACAAAGTGATCTTAGTGATAAGATCATTGACCCCCTGGTTGCAATTGTACAAAGTGATCTTAGTGATAAGATCATTGACCCCTTGGTTGCTATTGTACAAAGTGATCTTAGTGCTAAGATCATTGACCCCTGTTTGCTATTGTACAAAGTGATCTTAGTGATAAGATCATTGACCCCCAGGTTGCTATTGTACAAAGTGATCTTAGTGGTAAAGTGATTGTAACTCACATGAATTAACATAGACTTACAACTGTCATAGCACTAAGGTGACCGTAATTCCCATACTTCAACATAGACTTACGATTGTCATAGAGCTAAGGTGACTGTAACTTCCATACTGTAACATAGACTTATGACTGTCGTAGCTAAGGTGTTTTTGTACAAAGGCACCCTGGGCTCCAAGGGGAGACATGTTCATATTATAATGTTAATAGTATGGGGGCATACGAGCACTCTAGTGTTGAGATCAATCTGTGGAACTCACTCCTAGCTGTCAGGGGAGACTTCAGTATTATCGCTGTTCACTTACAGTCAAGAAAACCAGCTCACAGTCCCCTGTACAGTTCATCTCGAACCTGAAGGAGATGTGTCCGATAATGTCTGCTTTGCCGTTGACAACGTTGGCGTGGCCTCTGAAGCCGGGGATGTGCATGGTGAGGATGAGGAAGACATCCTTGTCATGGCTGAAGTGGGTACGGATGTGGTCACTGGACACTAACCACCCTGCTTGTGGGGAACAGGTTTCAGCTGAAGAAGAATACAACACATTTAGCACTGACACTCAGATTCTGTCTAAAGTGACTGAACATTGTTTTACACCACCATTTCCAGCTATGCAGAATCAAAATTTCCCAGACCGCCTCCGTGGTGTAGTGGTTAGAGCGTCCGCCCGGAGAGCGGAAGGTCGCAGGTTCGATCCCCGGCCGCGTCATACCAAAAGATGTAAAAATATGGTACTTGTTGGTCCCTGCCTGGCGCTCGGCATTAATGGGTACAACAAGGACTGGTCGGCTCGGAGTCAGTATAATGTGTCTGAGTTGGGTATTCATGCTTCACTGCGGCATGGTATCTCAGTGGGCTAGCACTATAAAACCAGCTTCAGTCTGGGCTAGTACAAGCAGCCGCACATACACATACACACGCATGCACGTTATCATATGAGCGAAATATTCTCAAGCATGACGTTAAACCCAATTTCACCTCACCTCAAAATTCCCCATGCTGACCTACCAACATGAGCAAAGATCCAGGACACTGAGACACAAGGGAGTACAATCAGAAAGGTCCCACACCGTAATCCCCTAACACTGAGTTTATTGTTCTGACACAAAGGATATACTTGGATCTGGACTTCCCATAAGGGGTCATTCATTGAAACACTTATCACTGTAACACACTTTGAACCTGTCCTAAAATTCCAAACAGTCATAACATGAATCAATGTTCAATATCAAACATAAAAGTCAAGTGACCCTGTTATAACCATATTATAAAAGTTCAAAGTGTGGGTAGGTAACATTCAATTTTCTATTTTCTAGGACAAATCAACAAGAGACTCCATCATTTTTTTCCAATTTCGATGATTGGACTAGTCTTGGTCATTACATTGATCACAAAAGCAAAATGAAATCCAGGTCTGAATGGTTTCCTGAATACGTTTCAACAGCAATATTCAAACATATGATCGAGAAGGGTAGAATTATCTCCCCTGCCTACCTGTCATGGAGAGACAGTCGCTGGTGACATTGGGTGGCATGACGGACCACCATCTGTAGTCGAGGCTGTACTCGGGGGACGTGGATGCAGGGCACGCCTCGCAGGGCTTGGAGCCGTCAGAGAACTGGTTGACTGGACAGAAGTCACAGGCTGAGTTGTTGTACAGTTGCATGCCTGGATTACAGGGAGGGCAGTCTTCCAGCTTGCCTTGAGGGGGAAGGGTCACAGCACCTGAAGCCGTGGGGTTGCAGATCTGGGGGGTGATCCACTCATACTCCTTGTGAGTCTGGAAACAAAGGATAGGGGTGCATCAGGTAGATTGTCATCAAGGGTACACACCTGGTATTGCTAAAAGCTGTATGGGGAATCTGCAAAGTGTAGATTTGGTCGGACAGATAAAGATGATGAGTGTATGAATGTTTATTAATGTGAGTGAGTGAGTGAATGAGTGAGTGAGTGACACCCTTTTGAAATTTCTAATTAGTTTTACATGATCTATCAAATAGTTGGACAAAATTCTAAGTTAACTGTAAACTGATTGAAACATTTTGGCATAAAGTAACATGTAGTAAAGTTCTGAAATAACAATATGGCTGTGCTACATGCAATGATTAGCATTACAGCTCTTTGAAAACATAGCACTCCAATGAGAGAGCTGCCTCACCTGTTTGTTCTCATTACATGGAGTTTGGTATTCATAGTAATCTCTATCAGAACATGGAGGTCGAGTCTCGCACTTGCTGGCACCCCTAGCTGCAAGACAAAGCAATGTCATATGTTACAGCATATATTACTAGGGTTGACTAATGAGGGAGAAACAACTACTGCGACAGCGATAGTCTGTTGCAACCAACTATACTATTGCAATAGTTTTGAATTGTCTCATTTCAAGTTATCTCCCAAATGAATGAATACTGTAAACGTGATTATATTTCTCACAAGAGTTTATTTTCAAGAAAACATTTTAGCTGAAAAAATTTATACACCGCTAATAAACCTGTCATTCATTCAGTCTAGCCGCTTCCCCTGAGTTGTTACCATAACACATCAAGTTTGAAGACAGAAATCTACGGAATCTTAAAATGACGACTGATAGTAGCATAAAGAATCATACTTAACTGTCGCTGTAATGGATTTCCCAAAACATAATTAAATAATGAGCCAAATCCCATCGCTTAATTAGCTTAAAACAGCAATGTGTGTTGTGGCCGCCATGGAAATTGGTCACATGACAGATGGTTTGATACAAAACAGATTACCATGAAACGACTCGAAAGAAATAATACAGCAGTATTTTATTTATTCATTAAGATTTTATTTACCAGTACATCATGAAGCTTAATAGTCACTTAACACTCAATCATCTCATTCACAACAACCCGGCTTGTTTGAAATCACAAAGAGCTTCATATACAGTAGAAGTTAATCTGGCCAGATCGTCAGAATTCGAACATAAGACTGATGTGTTTTTCATCTCTTCCGCGGAGTAAACGGATTACTGTGTACTCAGTATATCGCACAGATAGGGATTTCCTGTGAGTAAGCAATAAACGCCACCTGACAGGTTAAGCCACTCTGTTTGTTTTCACTGCTATTAGTGGCGGCCAAAGAGACAGCTGGCAGTTCCGCAATTACTGATTGCGCGAATAATTGACCGCTACGATGTAGTCTAAACTGTCAATTCCGCCAAAATTGCACCACGTACTAAAAATAAGTACGCAATCTATCGATAGTTCAATGCATCGTTGCAGCCCTATGTGTTATGGTATCGTATATCTGTAATTTTGTTGCATAAAGCCTACTCCTGCTAAAGGAATATTTCCTACTACTGTCCTCATAATTAGAGAGTCAATTTCCAGGTTTGAAAAATTTGTTCAAGTTGCTTTGTTTACAGTCAACCAATGATTTACAGAAGCACATGGACAACAGGCAATATCCTGTGTAGATGCCCTGGTAAAGTGGAATGTCAGCTGTTGTTTCATGCATAACAGTTACACGATTGTACTGTATGTTGTGTGCATTTTAGTTCTGCCACATCAAATTCCTGGCTACACACACATATTTTCTTTTGCATACCCATGTCAGTTGTTTTCTACTTGAGATTTTTCAAATGCCCATGATCCAACCACCATCTAAGTTTCTCTTAATAACCTATGATCAAACCACCAACCAGAATGTTCTGGAAGTGCCCGTGATCAAACCACCAACCAGAATGTTCTGGAAGTGCCCATGATCAAACCACCAACCAGAATGTTCTGGATGGGCCTATGATCAAACCATCCAACCAGAATGTTCTGGAAGTGCCCATGATCAAACCACCAACCAGAATGTTCTGGATGGGCCTATGATCAAACCATCCAACCAGAATGTTCTGGAAGTGCCTATGATCAAACCATCCAACCAGAATGTTCTGGAAGTGCCCATAATCAAACCACCAACCAGAATGTTCTGGAAGTGCCCATGATCAAACCACCAACCAGAATGTTCTGGATGGGCCTATGATCAAACCATCCAACCAGAATGTGTCTCTGATCAAACCAATCAGAATATTCTGGAAGCGTCTCTGATCAAACCAATCAGAATATTCTGGAAGTGCCTATGATAAAATCACCCACCAAAATGTTCAAATCAAACTACCAACCAGAATCTTCTCATAGTGCATGTGATCAAAATGTTCACAACCAGAATGTTCTCAGAGTGTTTATGATCAAAAATCCAACTAGAATTTACTATTTCAAAGATGCTCGAGCTATTCCCTTTCAAATATAAGACTTGGTACCATGCACAAGAAGAACTTACTGGTGTACTCCGTGTCCTTGTTGCAGGGACTACACTGGGCAGCGCCACGTTGAGAGTAGGTGTTCTCCAGACAGTAGCCACAGAACTCAGTGCCCCCGCTGCTGTAGGTGCCGCTCCGACACTTGGTGCACTCGGACGTATACGCCACACCTGCAGGTAGCCAGGTATAGATCACGTTTCCATAACAAAACTTAACGAAGACCTCTACCATGAAATGTGGATACAGCTGGACTGATCAGTGAAACAAATAGAGCTGTTTCAATGTTGAGTTTCCTGGTAAACAACAACATATAGAGATGACAATTTCTGTATACAATAATTATGCAATATTGTGTGGATTTTCAAACTTGCATCTACATCATCACAAGTGGTAGTACTTATCAACAGCACAGGGTTGTCGTAAACATCACACTGTTTTTCAAAATGAAGAACAGTATGTGATGTTGCTGATAGTAGCACCATGTTGATGCTTTCAACCCCACCTCTGCCATCTCGGCCCACAGTGAGATCTACATACCAGTCACTTCTATCTTCCTGATGAGGATGGGACTTCGACCGTGGGTACGTTCTTTCATCCCCAGCGCACGCCACTGGAGCACGTTCATGCCACTCTTCAGGTTCAGCTGCAAATATAAAGCACATGTCTTGCATACCTATAACACAATCACTGAGCACTGGGACTGAAAAGCTTGGTTAAAAAAAATCATAAAGGATTAACAATATGAAAATTGTGTCACTTATCAATAATATTGTACATACACTTTTTATGATGAAATAAAGCTAGGTCTTTATTCATGGGTTTCTTCCAAATTATGTTCAGGATGCGGTTTTGTTAGTAATCCATACAAAAATATGTAACCACTCATCAGTGATGTGAAAATAGGTTAATTCTTTTTCTTCATTTTTATTCAAAGTTACTTTTCCAATATTTATTGATAATAAATGATGATGATCTATGATCTACTGTATATTGGTATCTAGCCAGGGTTTAAAATGTCTTCTGGCGTGTAACCACATTCAAGTTTGAAGATTTTCATCAGTGTTTCCGCTGACTTAATTATTTATCGGACACAGTGTCTGACGACCTAATATTTTACCGGTCATGAATGAAATTTGCCGGTCATATCCTATTACCATACAGTCAGTACTCATTTTAAAGTTATTTTTAGCCTGGGTATTTCCAAAACATAACAATTTTTGTGACCATGAAAGCACAACCAAGACTGTCATTTCGCTTACCCATGATTTTTTTATTTTAATACATGTTTATTTACCGGACACAGTGTCCGGTTGGATTTCAATTTACCGGTCCCCAACGAATTTTACCGGCGATTTTAGGTATATACCGGAGAACGGAAACACTGTACATACACTGATAGCATTGTTCTAAACCTTGTTTAATCTATACAGAGCATATCTATGTTTAAACAAGACTGTTTCCATCTGTACAGGGCAGACAGCCTACCGTCTGAGTCTTCCACTTGCCCTCCTCCGTGTTAGGGGGCCAGGTGCCCTTGGATTCATCCCCTATAGCCTGGCACTGGTCATTCTGGACCTGTAGGAAGCAAAAGAACTCCATTAAGCACATCTCTGACTGCAGTATTAGAAATCTTCAATACTTATATAGATAATACAATAACAGACACAAAATGAGATATGTCTACAGGCATTATCTGATGTCTATTTACAGAAGACGGCTAGACTTGTAAATTGTAACTATATTAAATCACTTGGGGGCTGATCAACAGGCAACGCCTGACACAGTTTCATTCTTGGGACTTCAGTTATGGCTTTTCAATCTAAGAACATCAGCTACTTCACTGTATTGTGTATATTCCTTGTGTACACAGTGAGTATGCAGGGATTGGGAAAGGCAGGGGCCATGGGCCATTTTGCACATTAGAATAAAATATGGCCCATTAAAATTTTGAAGTTTACTATTGATACAAGGGCAGTGGCCCATTCTAAATTCAGAAAATGGCTTATAATCCTGAAAATGGCCCATTGTCAAAGTTCTCTATCCCAATCCCTGAGTATGTATATTTTTATGCCGCTTTTAGCAACATTCCAGCAATATTATGGCTGGGAACATCAGAAATAGGCTTCACACATTGTACCTAAGTGGGGAATCGAACCCAGGTCTTCAGTGTGACAAGCAGATGTTTTAACCATTAGACTACCAAACCATCCCCCTTGTGTAAGTATTGATGCTGAAGGCCATCCTAATACAGGTATTTTCAACAGTATGACTCTGACAAGGAAATTTAAACTTCCACTGTTAACTTGATCTAATTGGAAACAGTAGTTAGAATTAAAACTAAGACAGTTCAACACCTTGAACAAGGCATTTACTTTTGGATAGTGGTATGGTTTGATATGGGTATCTACTGTTTCATTTGTACGGGTAATTCTTTTCTAAGCCATGTTCAAATGTTTGTGATAATGCTGGAATCGATAAATATCAGCTAGACAGATAAATCCCAGTCTGCAGATCTCCCACAACATGTGAAGAATGTGCAATGTATTTTTGTATTTCTGACTGCTAATTACTTGCAGAAGATACAAATGATACCATATAACAGAAAAAACCAACCCATATCCATGGCAGGAAGCCATTCAATTATATAGTGCTGATTAAACGTCTAGTATATGGCCATAAAAATATCCCAGGAAAATGTACAATTGATCGTCGACACAAATTCATTTGTTTCTGCGAAAACATACCACACTTCAATACCACATAATTAACTTTACACATAAAAAGTAAAGAAGCACCTTCATAAATATTTCCAGTTTTTCAGGATCAGTTTATATGAATATTTTAACATCTCGTATTTAGGTGTATTATAAAAACATATAGAATCCCCATCTGAACAATTTGTTTACATGTTTAATCTGACAATGGGGGCTTTGAAACCATTTATTACATTTCCTTATTCTATGATACACCTGCTCTCATTAGTGTTACAAACTGGTAACAGTATGCAGAATTTCAAGCATTAAAGCATAAGGACAGGCAGTCGTAGCTAGTGGTGGTCCGATTAATTGAAATAATAGAAGATTGGTTGTAGTGACTAAACGACCAAGCAATCGATCATAATTTCTCATAATCGAACACAACCAATTTTGGAACACTTGTTTTCATTAACAATATTTTTCACATGGTTGGTTTTGTCGGTTACAATTTGTAAGCACTACAAGCTCGTTTCAAGCCATGATTGAATTTATCTTAAAGGCTCCAAGAAATTTATGTTCCTAACATACTAGTCATCCTTTAAAGATGTGAAATTTTGCCAAAAAGCCCCAAAAGAACTACATGTTTTTTCCTTATTTTTATGTGCATTAACAAATTTCATAAATGACGCTAACCAATTATTTTCGATGATTGATCGGTTGTAATGAACCAATCATCAATTATGAGATTTTAACCAATTCCCAACACTAAGTCTAACATGTGAATAATATGCTGCATCAGCAAATTTTCCACTGAGCCCATGGCTTTTGAATACATGTACAGATAGACATGCAAAAGAATGACCTGGAATAAAAAAATATTTCCTTTCCCCCTGCACTTGTACAGGACTTTTAGTGCTACATTGACTGAGAATGATGATGAAGGTATGTATATGATGGATGGATTGAAAGTTTCACATTGTTTTATGTTCACAATGGAATCCAAAAAATCTAAATCCCAAACAGTGAAGATTCATGAGACTGTCACTCCCATCTGTTATGGAACACATCAACAACTTAAGAAGTAGTCATTTCCGATGTGGTTTTATATCGGATCAATATGTCCACGAACAAGACAAACATTTAATTATACATCCACATTTTGTTCCTCTGTTAGCTGGGGATTTGGTTTCTATCATGGGTTTTAGAATTGGTTACTTTTTCTGATAGAGGGCAGCAGGGTTGACATCTCCAGAATCACTCTCAATCATCTTGATCATAGTGTTATGTCGGCTTGGCATTTAAAGCTAAGAAGGAATATTTTGTGTTCATCTCTTGCTTAATTTTTTAAACATAACTGGTTTTATGCTGATTTTAGCAATATTCAAGCCATATCATGACGACAGACAAGAGGCAAACACTTCAACCACCAGACTACCCCACTGCCCTCTCCTGACTGTCAAGGGGAACAGTATGTCTGAACTGACTGTCAAGGGGAACAGTGTCTGAACTGACAGTGAAGTAGAACAGTGTCTGAACTGACTGTCAAGGGGAACAGTGTCTGAACTGACAGTGAAGTAGAACAGTGTCTGAACTGACTGTCAAGGGGAACAGTGTCTGAACTGACTGTCAAGGGGAACAGTGTCCTAATTGACTGTGAAATGGAACAGTATGTCTGAACTGACTGTCAAGGGGAACAGTATGTCTGAACTGACTGTCATGGGGAACAGTATGTCTGAACTGACTGTCAAGTGGAACAGTGTGTCTGAACTGACTGTTAAAGAACCACTAAACTTTGTTTTTTGTTACTCTTTTAACCATTACATATGAAAGATTTGTGGTTAGTCTTATGCGGAACACCAAATTTATTCTTTAAAAACTTGTGGTTAATTAATACCGAGCGATTAAAAGTGGCCAAAAAGTCGCCTGCTTCCCTCTCGCCCGCCAACGAAACCACAGACAGGTTACGTAACTCTGTCGCCAGAGCACTGCAGTGACGTCATATGAGGAACGATTTTCAGTTAGTTGTATAGAAAATGTGTAGCACGCTCATCATTTTGATGATTTCTCGACATCAACGGCGACATGCCGAATCGTTGCTTTGTCGTCAATTGCTCCTAGGGTCGGGCGATGGTGTCCCCATGCACAGATTTCCACAGGACCCGCGGAGTTCGTGCTAAGCGGGTTATGTTTGTGAGAGCGGCGGCGTTGTGGAAGCCTGAAGCGATATCTTACTTGTGTTCAGATCGGCTTCCGCGGAAGTTAAAGAATCAAAACTACTTACTAGTTGTAGTAAAATATGCATATGATTGATGACCATAAAGATTTTCTATGACACAACTTGTAACATAACGATTTCTTCCTCGGCAGTGAGGTTGTGGTCAAGTAACAATAATATTGTAAGTAGTATTATATTGACACCCACCTCGCTGCCACGCCAGAGAAATTGTTATGTTATATCGGCTATGTCATGCAAAATCCTATTGGCCATCAATAAAATACATATTTTTACTACCAGTAGAAAGTAGTTTTGATTTTGTAACCTCGGTGAAAACAAACCTAAATACCATTTATCCTCAGACTGGTGGATGTTCCCGACAGGGCGCCGCCACTTTCAAAAATAAAAAAATCTGTTAGAATTAATGAGATTATAGTTTGTTTTCATCAAGTTAGAAAATCAAGACTACTTTCTACTCGTAGTTAAATATGTATTGGAATCATAACCAAACGGATTTTGCATGACACAGCTTATAACATAACGATTTCTTCCACGGAAGCGAGGTAGGGGTCGAAGTGACAATACTGCGCGATAAATTTCTTGCTACATTCCCATGGTTAATGTCCACTCACCAGTATGTAGATACTAGTCAATGTGCGTCTTTATATTTGGTCTTATAATCCTAATTAGTTTATTATCATACTTGTATGCATTTTGAAACTAAAAAAAAGCAGACGATCTGCTGATACTTGTAGTGAATTTATAACAGAACTGTAATATCTAGACATTTTATAGTTTGCCAATGTGAATCATAATTCGCACACACACCCTAGTGCATGTTGTCTGTCTCATTACACCTCACGGCGAAAACTATGATTCTGTTGAATGCTACGACAAATGAATAAAAACAAAATGCAAATATTAAAATTAAGACAGATTAAAATTATAGGAACAATATCAGGCCATTACCTTGTTCGAGGAATGTATCCATCAATATCCACAAAACTGCTCCAAATGATGTGTCTTTTAACAGTTTAATATACGAAAAGGTGATAAATCTTTTCAGGTATTGGTGTATAGTCTCATTGGTCACCCAAGATAGCACACCTGGCAACTAATTGCATAATGTCCGTCTTTCTTTAAAAACAGTAATTTAGTTAGCCAATAATGGGCAATCAATCAATGTATTGCCGGTTAATCCTTTGAAAGAAGGACGTTGTTTTACTTGAACACCGACACGACAGAGTGTATTCAGTATAGATTAGTAAATCTACATACATAAACACTACCTTTGACAATTCCGCTGTGTAAGACAAAAGTAATTAATCAATCAGCGTGTTATCGGTTAATCCTTTGATCGATGTTTATAATGTTGAATATTTACTCCAGACACAAGAAATGCCAAATGGGAACCTTTGTCGGGTAATCCAAGTGTGTTACCACTAATTATACCTGTTATAAATTCATTAACTGACCATCAAGTGAATGATGACAAATAACATGTGTAGGTTTATACCACCTAACCACAGGATTACAACAAGGGAGTATTAATTGCTGTATTGCATGTGAAAACTTATGGGCCGACACTGTTTTGAGAATACAAACAGATTTTTACAAGACATGAATAAATATCGAGGTAAAAAAACACAGAAATGGGATCAATTTGGATCAGTCATTATACAAATAGGGCCTAACGACACCAATCTTTTTTTGACAGAATCGTCTATGAAAACAAGTTGTAACTTCGAAACTAGGCAAAGCAGGAGACAAAATTAAATGACAGTAGATTGTGAGAACATATAGCTTTCATTTTCCACAACAATTGTCCACGATTTCAGGTTTATACAAGCCTGTAAACAAGATAATTTAACCCTTAAAATGTAGATGAATTCTGCATCGGCCCTCAAAGCTATTCCTCATATGACGTCACAGAGGCTCGCCGCTCTGATTGGTTGAAATTTCGTTCGCGGGTGAGAATTGTGCACTGTTGTCAAAAAGGTCGATTTAAGTCAATTAAAGGTCGAAATGAGTAGTTTTAATGACGGGGTTTCATTTATAACGATGCCAGTTAGTGATTTATGTATTTGTACCCCCTAGGGTTTATGTGACCTTTAAGGGGAACAGTGTCCTAATTGACTGTGAAATGGAACAGTATGTCTGAACTGACTGTCAAGTGGAACAGTGTCTGAACTGACCGTGAAGTGGAACAGTGTGTCTGAACTGACTGTCAAGGGGAACAGTGTGTCTGAACTGACTGTCAAGGGGAACAGTGTGTCTGAACTGACTGTCAAGTGGAACAGTGTGTCTGAACTGACTGTCAAGGGAACAGTGTGTCTGAACTGACTGTCAAGGGGAACAGTGTGTCTGAACTGACTGTCAAGGGGAACAGTGTCTGAACTGACCGTGAAGTGGAACAGTGTGTCTGAACTGACTGTCAAGGGGAACAGTATGTCTGAACTGACTGTCAAGGAGAACAGTGTCTGAACTGACAGTGAAGTAGAACAGTGTCTGAACTGACTGTCAAGGGAAACAGTGTGTCTGAACTGACCTTGAAATAGAGTGTTTCTGAATTGACTATAAACTGGTACATGGCATGCAAAATGAATGCGAAGCAAAACGGCATGTCTGAACTTACTGTGAAGTGGAACAGTATATCAGGGTTGGGTGACTGATACTCGAAGGTGACGGTTCCGGCTTTGACGAGCTTTGTGGAGAAGATGAGACTGGTGGTACAGTCTCCAGGGACGGCAGCGATGTAGTTGGACCGCAACTGCCATGTCGACCTGCAACATAACATAAACTTTCACGCTTATTGAAGAACATTACTGACAAACTAATGAATTAGTATGTATTTCACAAGCTTCATCTGTTTGATCGATGGTTAATGACAGTGATATTGCTTGTACTACTGTTGATTATTAACTCACTTACGCATGGCTCCTATATGAAAGGGGAATAAACAAACTGTATAATACAGCTTAAAAAGTTTCCAAACCCCATTTATGATTGAAAACAACACAACCACTAAATAAGTACATGTATGTAACTCTTCATATGTGAATTGGGTATACACTGTCAGTGTGGACTAGGGTGAACTAAAAAATAACCTCAATGTCAAATGCACATGTCAAACATTTTAAACACCAACCCCATCCAAATTTAGCATTACAAGCCTGTTTAAAAATAAAAAGGAAGAAAGTGCAATATAAACACAGTGCACCCTTAAACACAACCCTGAACCTTGAATATTATATATTCTTTGTCAGCCTGATAAAACTTAACATACACCAAAACACTTGTGAGGGAAATACATTGGCAGTGAATGCATCCTGTGGTCATAGCGGGACACAAAAAATAAAGTTTGCAAGCATATATATTTAGTGGTACAATAATGGATATATACTGGCTTAAAAAAAATAATCAAGACCTACGTTACTCACCCATTGACAGTATCACTGTTCAATAAACACAAAGTTGTATTATATCAAACAAACTTCCTGTCAAATTCCCTCCCCTGATTTTAACTTTGGCCTTGACCTACAATGAGACCCACTCATGATGCTAGGTATATGGACACAACACACCAGTATGTTTTTCAATAGGAATTTGTTATAAAAGTGTTGAGAAATATCATTAGGAACTGCACCAATGTTTAATTTTAACTGGGAGACTACGCACAATATTTGATTACAAGAAAAACAGCTGAATCAGTGAATCAGGCCTCCACATGTTATCCTTTTAACACATGCACAACGGCTGATTAGAAAATGAGCACAATTCTGTCAAGAATAAACATTCATATGCATTCCTTTCAGTAGCAGTTTTATTATAATCAATGTATCTGGTATTTTAAAATGATTCTATGTCACTTCTGCTTGTTTAGTTCACTTGAGAGATTTGTAACCAACTGGTTTGCAAGGCTGATATTTTCATTATCTGTATTTTGTATCTTAATCACTGGTGATACTAACACCTAATGTAACTTACACTAAATGCAATTTAGAAATGTTAATAGTTGTACCAGTTATAGGTATAGAGTTGACCTAACATCATATACAGAAAACTGTATAATAAACTACGTTATGAAATCTTCTGTAAAAGCCGACTTAAAAGACTACCAAAAAACATGTTCAACATTTGTGTTTATACTGTTCACGAGTAAAGTCAGATGAATATTTATTGAAATCATCACAGGATCCTTTCAAATAAATTCACATATTCTTTCTAACCAACCACATCAAATATATCAATAAACCATAGGTAGAAATCAATCCCCCAGTTTAATCAGACTCCATGCATCTGAGTGAGTGTGGAGACAATGGTCAGCTATGCAGTATTGTATGTATGTAAATGAGGGAGGGTTGACAATGGGAGAACAAGCACCTGCTGTACTGCACACATTAGTCACAGCAAGTTAACATCTATCTATCTCTGTCTGCAGGTCACATCCTCACAGCTGTCACAGACAGCCTGATGGTACACCTAGTCTTATCAGCACAGCATGAGTCAACTTTATTGTCCTGGTTGTGGAATCCCTGGGAACAGGACTCAATACTTAATGAGACCAGTCTCCACAGTCTTGTGGCCAGTTTCTGGCTAGTTCTTGACATTGTAATTAACAGTACATTGTCTCATGGATAATACTGAAATGTTAGGATACAAAGTACAATCTGAACCAGCCTCCACACTTGGAACAGGACTCAAAAAGGCTGGGTGGCCAGTTTCTGGCTAGTTCTTGACATTGTAATTAACAGTACATTGTCTCATGGCTAATACTGAAATGTTAGGATACAAAGTACAATCTGAACCAGCCAAGCAGACTTGAATCAAAAGGCTGGGAAGGCTAGTTATAACAAGTCTGGTCCTCCTTTAAAAGGTGCTGCATTCTTTTGAGGTGAAAATAAGTAATTAAAGCCATGTGAAAAAGTGAAAACTTCTCATTGTAATGTATAAAACTTCACTCACTCTGCCCAATGCATGTAGCAGTTCATAGTGCTAACCAATGCAGAGAAATCTTCAGAGATACCAAAAGAACAGGTGCAGACAAGCTGATTTTCATAGGAGATGCAAGTACAAACACTTCAAAATACCATTGAATATTCATGTGGATCTGTGACTTGCTCATAGTAACATTTTTCTTAAAATTTGATAAAACAACCCTCTCCTTCATCTTAGCAACTTTCAAGTATTTGATCAGCCAGAAATGTAAGGGGTAAAAATTAGACATCAGAAATTTGTACATGAACAATTTTAGACCAATACTTCAATTTGGTTTCAACATTGATATTTCCATGTAGCCTAAATAGCCATTATCACACATTGTCCTTTATATCTGACATTACTAAGATTTATGTCGCTCACTGTTAATCTCACGTGTAATGTCACCAACGTCCCACACAATCGGTTGTCTAACGTACTTGTCAAATAATACAAAGACACACTTTCAGGACTGTCAGTTGCTGGTCAAAGTACTGTAATACTATATACAGTATTAATAGTACCACAATACTGAATAGCATTCTTATCTACCAGAACATAGCTGCAGAAATACACATAACCTCAGTCATCAGCCCTATATGTCATTACGAATTTCATATTCATATACACATTATGATTGAAATTTGAACTACCCATCAGATGCCATTGCTCATTGAAACAAATGTAAATTTTCTACCTTTTAAAAACCCTCTAATTCTAGATATGCAAAACCCTCCTTATATGTGGCAATATACTGTAGAAGGATCCCATGGAACAAAATGTTTAATTGCTAGAAGCTAAATTGATTTAAGGTATAACATCGCAACAATATTCCTACAGTTAACCAATCATCGGACAGGGAATCAACAAGGGAGACAACAAAGGCAGTGACGACCTTGACAGTCACCACCACAGATAGGACAGACAGCATCCAGTCCCCAAGGAGAAATTGTCCTTGACAGTCCATGTGACAACTAATTGGCCCCACATCGGTTTGATTGTTTGTTTCTTTTGTTTGTTGTTTAATACAATATTACTGCTACCACATTGGTAGTTACTGTAGCTCCATCTACAATGTCAACATGACCGTCCTGGCTCATGGCTTGATGCTCTGTAATTGGTACAATTATGTAACGTTGGAGATTTGACTTATATAAGCCCTCCATCTGGCGACCTCTGACAGCTGGCTTTAAATGTGCCTTCACCCCTTGTGTGACAATCTCATGTACCCAACTGTTTGTCACCTTCACATTTATACTGAACACACCTGGTTCAGTTAGCCCATTACCTGTCAAATCAGTACCTTTATTGTACATTTTGACACCTGATTACTTCATAAAGATTAACATATTTTATGTATAATGCAATCTGAAATCCCCCAGCTGTATTGAGATTCAGGGGGAAGGGTGTACAATACAGGATACAGAGGTGACATCAAGTTTCCCAATACAGGATACATCAAGTTTCCCAATACAGGATACATCAAGTTTCCCAATACACTGATACATCAAGTTTCCCAATACAGGATACATATTTACAAAATCTACTGTCAAAACGCTAGGGTTTTGACTTTCCTGTGGAAACATCATGATAAATCAAGTTTCCCAATACAGGATACATATTTAAGGTGGTTTTACACTGCCAAACATCATGTTCAGTGTTCAGGGATTTCATGAGACACAGGTGGCCCAGGTGTCTAAGGTACTGCAACTTGCTGTGCCAAGTTGTGATTGAGGGCAAACCTATGGCTGTCGGTTTACCCTGAATATTTCTAGATTTGTCCGCAACATACCCATGTTGGTGGGGTTCACCAAGGTGGTAGACATCTTCCCACAGCAGGCTGACATATGATGTATCTGGAATACTGCCAAAAGCTGCTTGAAACAAGCTCTCTCAGATTCAAACATACAGCAGTGGACCCATCTGCCCAAAATAGCTGGGAATCATCAATATCTTGTTACAATGTAATTGTCTGCACTAGACACCTTCAAACTACTGACAAAAACGGTAAAAAAATAACATGTCTGCTTGTCAGAAACAAGCACCATTGAGGAAGGAGTTTTAAGACAACTGACATTCTCGAGAAGATTATCACTTTTACAGTCCAAAGCCCAAGTCTAGTTAAATTCTTTCAGTGTAGTAAGCTTGGCTATTAAACCTGAATTCCACTGATGATGAGGCCGATTTCAGTTTACCAGTCTCAGAAGTTTTTGGCACCAACTTTTCTTACCATTAGGTACATAGCAATTCTGTAGCAGATCATTAATGTGGACAATTGAAAATATAGATCAATTTCCTATCCTGAAAGGACAGACAGACCTTAATATCCATTATGCCAAATGACACTAACGACTTAACCTTTGAAGTTCAGGCTAGAATCAAAATCCAACCAGGCTTCCATTGAATGCTGGTATTTGACAACAGCGGCCAATAATCATGCTGACACATAGCCTTGACAACAGGAAGCTGGGCTTCCTGCCACGATGGGCTGGGTCTGGCTAGGCCCTCCAAGACAAGGCTGTTTCATACAAGCCATCATGTGTATGTCGGCAACATGTGTAACTGTAGTAATTGGGCAATTTGATCCAACTGTGACTAGCGTGGGCTAGATGAATAATTATCATTTCATGTACATGACATGAAACTTCTATGGATGAAACAGTATACAGCTGTGGTTTATAATGGACTTCTAGTAATTATTTAGTCATTAATTCCCTTCAACCACTTCTTGATTGGCTTGTAACGGTTGTTGTTACTTTTAAATTTAAATCATAAATGTTACTAATGGCCTGATCAGATTTATTATCCAACATGTTTGTACATTTGTACCAGTCAATATTTTTGGGTTTTGTTTGTTGTTTACTTCTAAATTGTTTCAGCAACAGGAAATATAGACTTTCACACCATAAAACAAAATTATATACACCATTCACATGTATATTAGGACAAGATATATGAAGCAGTGAAGACGGAAACAGATAAATATACATTTGAAGCCAACATATATTTTTTTATTCTAATTAAACATGGAGCGAGCGAGTGAGTTTGGTTTTACGCCGCTTTTAGCAATATTCCAGCAACATCATGGCAGGGGACACCAGAAATGGGCTTCACACATTGTACCCATGTGGGGATTCGAACCCGGGGTCTTCGGCGTGACAAGCCAATGCTTTACCCACTTGGCTACCCTACCGCCCCCTAAACATGGAGTGATACAACAACAACTTGGTACTAAACTTGTTCATGGAATTGCTTATAAAATTAATCGTCTTTTCAATTATATATCTAATTTTAAGTTCCCTCTTAAAATGCATCAAACTCAACTGAGAATAAGAAACCTTTCATCTCCATACATAATACTTGGCTTGGATAAGGAAAAGATCAAATACAGATGTACCTCAAATGTAAATATATCGTGTAACAGGACATCTGCCCTATACACACAGACACAATTTTCAAGGTCCTTTTAACCTGTGCT